TCTAGGGTAGGTATAGGGTAGGCGCCCTAGGGTAGGTACAGGGTAGGCCCCTGCGCGGTGCCCTTGGGGTGGCATGGCATCCGGATCCTCGAGGGCTCGGGCGCGCGGGTGGGCTTCCTATATAGCGCTTTAGGGGGTAGTATTATAATAAATCTAAGTTATAATAAAGAGTATTATTATTAAGGCAGTTTATTTTTATATTTAAGTAATACTTTTAGTATTTTTAAATATTTTATTAAATTATTATTTTTTATTTAAGAAAACCTCTTTAAGAAAGAATAGCTAAAAATAATTAATATTAATTATTTAAATATTTAAATAATATTTTTAAATAATTTAATTATTATTTATATTACTTAAAAACTTAAAATAAAACTATAATAAAGTTTAAGTAACTTTTTTTATATTATTTAATAAAAAGCTAAATAACTTTTTATTTATTTATATAACTTATTTTTTAAAAATAAAACTTTTATAAGTATATATTTATTTATATAAGCTTTATTAAGCTAATATTTTACTTTAAACTTTACTTAGGGTTTAAAAGCTTATAAATAGTTAAATAATATAATAAAGCTATTATAATAATAATAACTCTTATAAAATAAAAGGCTTTATAAGTTATTATAAAATATAATATTAATATATATTATTAATATTAATAAATATATTTTACTTTATTAACTTAATAATATATTTCTTTATATTATTATTATAATTATTTTAATATTATATAAAGTTTTTAAAAGTTATAAATTAAAATCTAGTTTAAAGTATTAATAAAGCTTACTTAAGTTATAAAAGCCTTTTTAAATTTATTATATTAAGCTTATAAAAAAGTTAAATACTTTAAGAGTTTATAATAATATTATTACTCTAGTAATTATAAAGTAAAAAGCTTTATAATAATATTTTTATAACTTAAGATAAGCTTATAAAAAAAAGAAATAATTATAATATTATTATAATAATAATAATAACTCTTAAAAAAAGATTTTATAAGTTATTATAAAAAGTAATATTAATATAAAGTTTTAATATTAATAAATAGTATTAAATTTATTAACTTAATAATATATCTTTTTATATTATTATTATTAAAAGAGAATTTTAAAAAATAATATATAATATTTTAATTTTAATAATAATATTTTAAATTTCTTTAAGAAGTTTTAAAAATAAGTAATATATTTATAAATTTAAATATATAACCTTATATTAAGTTATATTAAGTAAAGTATTACTTATATAATAAAAATATATTACTTAAATAATAATACTTATAATAAAGCTTAAGCTTAATAATAATATACTTATAATAATTTTTTAATAATAATTTAATATTTTCTTTATATAAAATATAAAATATATATATATAAATTTTTATAAATACTATTATAATCTTAAAGTGTTATTAAAGTAATATATTTATATATATTATAATAAACTACCCTTATAAGTAGAAATACTAAATAAGTATTTAATATAAAATTAATATACTTAAAAAAATATTATTTATATATTTATATATATATTTTTATTTTTAGTAATTAAGGCTTAAGTTAAGCTTATATTAAGCTTATTATATAATTAAAAAAAGATTAAGTATAGCTTAAGCCTTTTATATATTATACTTTTAGTTTTTTTAAGCTTACTTAAATTAATAATAACTTAATAAAAAGAAAAAAAATCTTTTAATTCTTTTTATAAATATATTTATTATTAAGTGTTATAAAAATAAAAGTTATATAAAAGTTTTATATTTATATATTATTTTTAGCTAGTATTTATTAAAATATTAAATTAAAGTTAATATATTTAAAGTTTTATATTTATTTATTTTTATATTATTTATATTTTAAAGCTTAAAAATATTTAATACTTTAATAAATATAGCTTTATATAATACTTATATTTTATTAATTTATTTTATTTAATATATAATATATATAAAAGCTTTATATTATATTATTTTCTTATTTAATTTATATATTTTATACTTTATATAATTTTAAAAGCTTTAAATTATTAATATTATTATTATTAATTAATATATTTAATTTATTAATAATATATATTTTATATATACTTTTATTAATTTATAATTATTTTTATATAATATTTATTATTATTATACTTTTTTTTTTAATAATAGTTTTTTTAACTTATATTAAATAGTAAGTATTTTAAGATAAGCTTAATATTAAATATATATTAATTAATAATAACTAGTTTACTTTTTAAATATATATATAATAAAATAAAACTTTTATAATAATAAAACTATTACTTTTAAATATAATAATAATATATATTAAAGCTATAATAATAACTTTATTAATAATATTATATTTTATTATAAAGTTAATAATTATTTAAATTATATAATAAACCTTAGCTATAATAATATATAATAATAGCTATTATATTATTATTATAATTAAGATATTATTAAAACTAAGTTTTATAAAAGTTAAGTATTATTATATTTAAGAATAAGTTAAAAAGTATATAATAAGATATTATATAATAAAGAATAAGTTAAAAAGTACTAGTTTATAATTTATTATTATATATATTTAATAAAGTATATATAATTATAATACTATTAATAAAGTAATTATAATACTATTAATAAAGTAATTATAATACTATTAATAAAGTAATTATAATACTATTAATAAAGTAATTATAATACTATTAGTAAAGTAATTATAATACTATTCCTAAGTATTTAATTTAAATTATTATTATTATTAAGTTTAAATATATACTTATTATTTAAGTTATTAAAGTTATTTATAAAGTATATAAAATAGCCTTATTATATAATAGTATATATATTAAAATAAAAAAGTTAAGTTACTTAAGTTAAAATAAAGTATTAAGCTAGGCCTAGGCTTAAGACTAATAATAATATTTATATAAGTTAGTTAGTTAAATTCTAGTTAATATTATTATTATTAAGGTTTTTAGCTTTTTAATATAAAAAATAATAAATCTAGGCCTTTATATTAATATAAGTAAATTATTATTATAGCTAGGGATTATTATAGCTAAGGTTTATTATATATAATGTAATTAAAATTATAAATAGTATTTATAAATAAGTAATATTTTTTATTAAAAGTTATACTTTTAATATATATTATAAAACTTATATATAAAGGTTAATAAGCTTAATATTATAATAGCCTTAGTTATTAAAAATAAAAATAAGAAAAAATATATAAAAATTAAGCTTAAAATAATTTTATACTTTTAAGTATATTTTTAAGTAAGTGTTTTATTAAGTATATATTACTTTTAAAGCTTTATTTTTTATTTTTATATTTATTATATTTCTTTTCTTTATTTTTATTATAAGGCCTAGCTTTATTATTTATAATTCCTTTATATATAATATAAGTATAAAGCTTATTATAAGCTTTTATAAAATTAAGTTAAAAAATAAAAACTTAAAATTAAGCTTTTTTAAATAATTAATAGCTAGTATTTAAAACTTATATTACTTAATTAAGTAATAGTTTTTTTCTTTATTTAAGTAAGAGATTAATATAATAAAGGTTTTTTTTATTAACTTAATAAAAAATAATAAATTTAAATAATTTTAAAAATAAGCTTTGAAATATTTATAAAGTATTATAATTATATATTTATAAAATATTATAATATAAATATATTATAATTAATTAATAATTAAACTAGTTTTAGTTAAAAAGTAATTTTAAATAAATAAAATTAATTATAGTTATATAAAAATAAAAATAAAGTTTTAATTTAAAAATTTAATTTTAAATTAAATTATTAATTTTAAATTAAATTATTAATTCTAAAGTAAATTATTAATTTTAAAGTAAATTATAAGCTATATAAGTTTATATTATATATTATTAAATAAAGTTTTTTTTAGCTTTTTAATAATATAAAAAATATATATAACTTTAATTATTTAATTAAGAATTTCTTTATAAAAAAATAAAAGATTACTTAATATAAGTTTAAGTTTTTTTTATATTAGCTTTTATATAAACTTTATTATATATATTTATTATTAAGTTTATTATTTACTTTATTTTATTTTATATTAAACTAAAAGTAATAATAATTATATTATTTATTTAATATAATTACTTTACTTTTTTTATATTTATAATAATAAAATAAAAGTTTATAATTATTTCATAGTTTTTTATTTTATAATATAAATATATAAGTTTTTAAAAATAATATTTTTACTTAAATATATTTTTAAAAAAATTTAAAAAATTAATTATATAGTAAATAACTTAATATTTATTAAAAATATACTTTTAATATTATTATTTTTATTTTCTTAAATATAAAAAAAATATAAAATAAGATTTTTACTTTTACTAATAAAAATAATAATATTATTATTATTATATTTTTTATTATAACTTTTTATAAATAAAAGTAATAAAAATATACTTTTTTTATAACTTATTATAATTATAATTATATATAAAATATATTATAATTTAAAATATATATAATTTAATACTTAATTACTTATATATAATAATTTCTAAGAATTTTCTTTTAATAAAGCTATTTTATAAAGGTTTAAAACTACTAGACTTTACAGAGATATTATAAAGTAGTTATAAACTTTTAGCCACAGACTATATCCAGGCCGCACACGATCGTGAATTGCATTAGGATCGCTATAGGATTAAAGTACAATCTACTCGATTCTACCTACCTTATGTCGTATCTGGCATCGCCACCTCGTTAAGGGTATGTCGGACCGCGATCCAAGTGTCAATGAGCTGCATTAGCGCCCCCATCATTGGCCACATCGCACAATCATGTCGCGTATTGGGACCGGGACATTGTATGCTTAAGGCAGCCCGGATATAAACTCCGACGTCTCCACCGCGGATGATGCATACCATCAACAGGCATACGTCCATACCTACCGTAGCCAGCGTCCGAGCTTTGAATCCTTCCGATCGGTAAATGCTACTAGGACAGAGCGCTTTGACCCGATGCGTGCAGTAAGTGGCACAATGCCGAGAGGGAGCTTCCCTACGCGTACTCGATTCGGTGACAGACATTACGATATCGGATGGTATAGCAAGGATTTGCTTTCCACTTTGAGATGTTAGAGGGTATCTTGTCTACAAGTGCGTTCTCCCGGTACGGCGGATCGTCTCTGCTCCGGTGAGCCGTGCTCAACACCACATCCACCAATACCTGCCATATAGCGGAACTTGTATACTTTGTCCACCGCGGCATGGACCTGTATTCAACGGCATGTGCCAGTGCGGAGGCGAATTTCCCTTCCTTGATGCCGGTAAACGAGGCAGAGGGAAAGAGGAGAAGGAGAAAGAGGAGCAGAGGGAGGAGGAGGAGATAGAGGGATGGAGAGATGCCATATGGATGGGTTCTACGCCGTATCAAACCGACAAAGCTGTTGATATATATAGAGGCATGTCATTATCAGTCTCATCGGCTCTTTTACCATCATCAAGAAGTGGCTATTCTCAGACAGACACTATAGTTGTGCCATTCAGATTGAGGCCGAAGAACATATCCTCCTCTCTTCTCACTATCATGGACCACGACGAAAGGCAGAGTTCACGCGAAAGAGGCTACAGTTCAATGACAGCACCGTCTTACAGTCGTTTTTACTCTGCGTTAGACATGCCAGAAGATCCAAGACGCTACGCTGATGATCCTTATTCACCAACCTCGTCGGTACCTGCTGGCTATGCCAGTTCCAGGATCGGACACCCTGGGCCTGACGCCTCTTATACGTACGGGTCCCATACACAGCCGTACAGTAGTATATCGTCACTTCCTCGGCCTTCTCATCATCACCATCACCTGCCAGACATGGGTCGCTCGTCAAGTTCCATGCGTGAGGAGAGCGGACAAGAGCCGCATAACTTGGTTGGAAGGGAAGGGATGCCTTCTCCGGCACGGCGGCCTCAACGACCCAGGATCAAATTCACTCAGGAGGAAGACGAGCTGCTCATTGAGCTCAAGGAGAAGAGGAACCTCACGTGGAAGCAGATTGCCGACTTTTTCCCTGGACGCAATCCCGGCACATTACAAGTGAGGTACTGTACAAGACTGAAGACAGAGGGCACGTCATGGACAAGAGAGATGGTACGCGATCTTTGCCCAATTATCTTCCATCAACATTCCTTGCATCTTGCAACATCAGTTTGACTGACTGACCAACGCAGGACGAAAGATTGTTGGATGCCTTGAAGAGCTATGAGGACGAAAAATGGCGAATTGTTGCACAGCGGGTTGGGAGCGGCGTCACGCCAATGGGATGCTGCAATCGCGTGTGGGAGCTGTTCAACGATGATCTTGACGATGCCTCGCAATTCTCATTCACAAATGAGAGCTAACTATGGGGCGTAAGTTGCCACGCAATAAATGATATCGACAACAGCAATATATGAATGATCGAGATCAACACCATCCTCAAACATGAGCCAAGCATATGGCATTCTATGACACATGAATAAAACGATTGCCATGTTCTACTACTGCTGCTACGTGCTTATATATCTTATATGTGGTACACAGAGACTTGTTTTTACTCTCTATGCATGAACATAAGATGCTTGATAGCTTCTTCCTACCCTCCATGAGACGTTCAGGGTAGCAATTGTTTGGCCAGTTCCGTTTCGTCCACAACAGTGCCCGACTCAACCATCGCAATTAACGCCTGATGGCAAGACACGTCCAGGTTGTCCCGGTCACGCGGCTGACCGCTGCTACTTTGCCTAAGGAAATCGGCCGTCTCGACGAGCCAGCCATTGAAGTCGCGGATCTCTGTGGGTTTTCCAGCGCGGGCATCTTGAAGCATTGAGCTGGTGTTGTCCTTCACCACATTGCCGATCTTGTAAAGCATTGAGCGAAGCTCAGTAAATGAGAAACGCAAATAGAGCTCTTCTCTTAGGGAGCTCAGCGACTGAGCAGATTTGACGTCCGTTGAAGATGTGAGAATCTCGGCAGTGCTGCGGTGGTTGATGAGGGCTTGGAGAATGGCGCTTGATTCGTGTAGAAGGCGGTCAATAACTTTGGCTACAGCGCCATGAGGATTCTCAAAGAGGGCGCCATTTTTACAGCGAAGGACGGCAGTGAGGGGATTTATGGTAGAGTTCACGACGAGCTTCTGAAGCTGCGACACCCAGAGTTGGACCTTTGTAATGGACCTTGCATTGAGACAGGGAGCGGAAGCAATGGCTTCTGTCAAATAGCCTACGCTCGGTGCGAGATGCCGAGCAGTTTCGTTCAGCAATACGGGCCCAATGGCACTGTCTGCGGGCGATGCATGAAGGCTTTTGAATGGCCCCTCTGATAAAACGCCGTGGTTTGTGACACAAGCCAAAAAGTTGGGCGCGTCGTTCTGAGGGTACCGCTTTGCCACGTATTCCTGTCCGTGGGGCGGCCACAGCTTAGACATGCCATTTTGGAGAAATGCCACGCTGCTGCTGCTGTCGAGATATCTCCGTAGCCTGTCAGCTTCACGCATGGCTGCAGCGGCTTTGGTCGCGACGATGAGGTTGCGGACTTTGGTCCCTCGAGCGATTTCTCTGACAGGTCCATAGATGGGTGCTTGCTCAGTCCACCACTCAATTTGGAACTCGTCTTTTCCGCGATAGAGCCGTCCTGATCTGGTAATTTCGAGGCCTGGGCCTTGGATCCATTGGGATAGGAGCTCTTGTTTGTGTACAACGAGGGTAATTGGGGGTCGCGGTGTGTGCATGGAGAGACAGCTGGCGTAGAGGCGACCCAGGTTGCCAATGCCCAAAATGAATATTCGGCGGTTCAGATCGGCAGAATCAGCCGAATCCGGACTTGGACTCTCCTTGGTTTCTGTACTGCTCCTTATGTTGTCTGGGGTCCAGGCATACAGTTTGGGAGCAGGGCTTGTATCGTCCAGGAGCGACGTGAGCCATGCTGGCTGACAAGACTGTGTAGAGTAAGTCACCATGGGCTTAGAAAATCTGCGGATATTTAGTATATAATGGCGGAAGAAGCATGGGCATTGACTGCGACGACCAGGCACTCTCGTCCAGATTGCCATGTTGAAGCCTCAATGATGGAGAGAGATGGTTTGAAGGAGAAATTTGGGAGAGTCGTCTCGATGGAGTATGTGAGGGGCCAGTCGCGCAATAAGACGCTACTTCATTTTGTGTGTGATTGCAGCATGCCGTTGGACAACAGAAAATATGACTCTGGACTCAGATAAGGAGTATGTATGTTTCGCTGGTATTTCTTCAAGATTGGATATGGAGACCTCGGAGTTGAAGTATTGCTAGGCCTATATTCCCCTCACCTTGATTGGGATAAACCATGATGGCGTTAGGGGATACATGCATAACGCAGGGTGACGCATACGTGTGAAAAGTACCTCGTCAACATCGATACAGGACAAGACAGACGAACCCATCAACACTGCCTGTGTGCATTTGTCACAATATGCGCAGAGATGAGTAGCTATCGTGATTATCGTAGTCTTTTGCAGGCTGACTTAATCAGCATCCCAACGATTTGTCTCTTTATTCTGCTACAGCGAATTGGAGTCGAAGCTTTCTCTTTGTTACCGATATTGCTCATTCTCCGATGTCCTACTGCTTCGTGTCAGTAGACTTTCCCCAAGCACACGATGGAGATGACGGTCGTTACAAAGTCCATAAAGCTACATTTGTGTCGAATATCAAATATTCCACATTGTGCTCCCATTACTGGGGGTTTTTGCTGCCTCTGTATACGAAGTACGCCGTACCTTACACAAGGATGTGAGAGTTCTACTAAGTTGAGTGCTTGCATACCTCGCACGTGACACCGCGTCTGCCTAGTGTACTCGTACGTGGATCCCTCAAGTGATGACCAATCAGCTCCACGCTCCTTCGCCACTGACATAGCGAGCGCCATTGAATCATCGAAGCCAGCCATTGTGTAGGCGAACTTTATCTTCTCGCCTGTCACTTTCTCCTCGACTCTCCATCATTTCAGCTCTGCCATACGAACTCTTCGCCCTCACGTTACGCTCAGCCAAAAACATGATATGATACTGAAGGGATGATGAACGTCCTCGGCAGGACCAGACACCGGAATCCTACTTGTCAATAGGCTGCCTTGATCGCCACCGTGCATCGTTTCTTCTTGACGTCACAAAGTCTCAAACGCAGCCACAGAAAATACCACAAGCGAAATCCAGAGTTATCTCATCTCTTCATACATCCCATCTGGAATCGTGTTTCCTCACCCGAATTCTCAGAACCCGAAAACTCGATCTCGCACCGATACTCGGCCTTTGCTGAGTGGCAGAATCCGTACTACACAGCATGGAGTCCGAATCGGATACAAGGGAAAACGTCACCAGCGAGAGCCGCAGTGCCTTGCTCAACGAAATGGTAGCCGCAGCTCAACATGTCTCAACCCCCGCAACGAATCCGGAATCACCACCGGCCATTGGGATGACCGAAGATGATGCGCTGAGGAATCTCTCGGGAACCGTGCGAGATCAGGATGATCTGGAACGAGATATTACCATGCAGGCTAACGCGGCAATCATGGAGGCTGAGGATAAAAAAGACCGAGCTCGGATTGCCAAACTAGAGCTGGCTCGTGAGCGATACCAGGCTCAGCTTGACACGGAGAAAAAGAAACTGGATAAAGTTGCTGGCAACCCACGTCAGACCCGAGCCTTGCAAATAGAGATTGCCAGAATCGAACAAGAGATCAGCCAAGCTACTACGGATATCGGCGATTTCGAACGGCGTATCCAGAAGCGGCACGAAGAAGATCCGCTACAGAGCATGGCCCAGGCGAAGTCCAAGAGGCTTCCTGGCGAAAGCAATCGCGACTATCTCATCCGAACCGGCAAGATTACTCCGTTCTCAAAGCTAGGAGGAGCTCGTCCCGCAGGTATAGAAGGCCAACTGGCAGACACCATCTTGGATGCTGAGGAGGAAGCGACTGCAAATCAATTAGTCGACGAGACCAGTGAGGGCCCTCTATCTCATCAATTACTCCGGCGTCCTGGATTCTCCGAAGACATCACACCGTCCCCGGCGAGTGAAAAAAACGCAGCCGAGGCCGAGTTCTCACTTCGGCCACGAAAAAAGAGAAAGGTCGCAGGAAGGGCAGAGCGCGAACCCTCCGCTGATTTTGAGCCCGATGCACGTTCAAGCTCAGAATCAGCCGACTCCGTGGTCTGGCAGCAGACAACCGAAGACGATATCGTTCGACAACAACGTCGCAAGGCAAAGGCTAAGAAACAGGCTGCTGAGCAAGATTCCATTGATCTTAGCAAGATTGATGATGGCAACGAGGCTCACTATAAGCGGCGGCTCAAAGACTGGGTTGATCGAAGGAGTCGAGCAAGGCGAGCCAAACGTCAAACCGATCCTGCTGCAAGCCCTCAGGAGAGCGACGAGGATGAAGAGGAGTGGTTCAAACCCGCGCCAGGTGTTCCCGATCACCATTTCACCGAGGATCTCAAGCTACCAGGCGACGTATACCCGTCGCTGTTTGGGTATCAGAAAACAGGCGTGCAGTGGCTCGCGGAACTGTACAAACAAAGTGTTGGAGGAATCATCGGGGATGAGATGGGCCTTGGTAAAACCGTACAGCTTATTGCTTTCATCGCCGCTCTGCACTACAGCAAAAAACTGAAGAAGCCAGTCATTGTAGTTGCTCCCGCCACGCTGCTTCGCCAGTGGGTGAGCGAGTTCCATCGGTGGTGGCCACCGCTGCGCGTTTCTATCCTGCATTCTTCCGGCAGCGGAATGCTCAACCCTTCGGTCGAAGATGAGTATGATCTAGAACATTTCAGCCCGATGGCTGCCCGATCAAACAAGGCTGCGAAAAGGATCGTCCGAGGAGTGGTCCAGAAAGGTCACGTCTTGATCACCACATACACTGGTCTTCAGACATATGCCGATGAGCTTTTGAACGTTGAATGGGACTATGCGGTGCTTGACGAGGGCCACAAGATCCGAAATCCAAATGCCGAAATCACCGTCACCTGCAAAGAGCTCAACACGCCAAATCGACTTATTTTGTCGGGAACTCCGATTCAAAACAACCTCACCGAGCTGTGGTCGCTCTTCGACTTCATCTACCCGATGCGCTTGGGCACCCTCGTCAACTTCAAGCAACAGTTTGAGATTCCCATCCGACAAGGCGGCTATGCAAACGCGTCCAACTTGCAAGTCATGACTGCTGAAAAGTGCGCCGAGGCCTTGAAAGAGACCATCAGTGAATATCTGCTCCAGCGATTGAAGGTCGATGTGGCCGCCGACCTCCCGGAAAAGACAGAGCAGGTCTTATTCTGCAAATTGACAGAAGGCCAGCGCAGTGCATATCAGACCTTTCTCCGCTCTGACGAAGTTTCTGCCATTCTCAACAGGACACGCCAGTCGCTCTATGGAATTGACATACTCCGCAAGATTTGCAACCACCCTGATCTCCTGGACAAGTCTCTCTCGCAAAAACCGGGCTACGATTTCGGCAACCCAAAGATGTCGGCAAAGCTTCAGCTTACCAAAGACCTCTTGCAAAAGGTCATGATTCCGAATGGACACAAGACACTGCTGTTTTCACAAGGCAAGCAAATGCTCAACATCATAGAAAAGTGCATGAGGAATTGTGGCATATCCTATCTTCGTATGGACGGCGAGACTCCGATTGACCAACGACAGCCCATGATCGACAAGTTCAATTCTGATCCTAACATTCACGTCTTCATCATGACAACCAGGACCGGTGGACTAGGCACGAATCTTACTGGCGCTGATCGTATCATCATTTTTGATCCGGACTGGAACCCGTCTACTGACCTGCAAGCGCGAGAGCGAGCATGGAGACTCGGTCAGAACAAGCCCGTCAAGATTTACCGGCTTATGACGGAGGGTACGATTGAGGAAAAGATCTATCATCGCCAGATTTTCAAGCAGTTTATGACGAACAAGGTTCTCAAGGATCCAAAACAGCGAAGCTCCTACGACCTCTCCGACCTGTATGATCTGTTTACCTTTGACGGAAACACAGACCCCGCGGCGTCAAGAAGCGAAGTCTTCAAGGGTGCGGAAGTCAAAATGGGTGAAACCCGAGACAACACTGACGCAAAAGCTCTGGTTCCCATTGGAAACATGGGCCAAGAAAAACAGCAAGACGAATTAAAGAGTTTAGATACGGTCGCTGCAATGGAGGACGTCAATGAAGATCCGTCTGCTCACGAAGAGAAGCGCATGCTTGAGGGCATCTTTGCGCGATCAGTGAATAGCGCTTACGACCACGAACAGATTGTTAATGGACCGCAGAAAGTAAAGGCCGATATAGCTATTCTGCGCCAAGAGGCCAACAGAGTAGCCCGCGAGGCTGCTGCCCATCTCCGGCACTCGGGAGAGGAAGCCCGTCGAGTCCCAATTGGAACGGTCACTTGGACAGGCGAAGTTGGCACAGCCGGTCGTCCTGGCGGCAACCGTCGTCGTGGCGGTCCGAGCTCGGCCGGTGTTGTGGGCAATCTCGCGGGTCGCCAGGGACTGGACAGCGGTAGCAGCTCTCGGTCCGGCACACCCGCAAGTGACAGGAATATGAAGGCGAAGGACTTCATTCCCTTGATCAAGGCCTTCATCAATCGTCACGGAGGAAAGGTCCCCAGCAAGATGTTGGTGGACCACTTCAACCCTTACTGTCCTGGGAAGAAGCAGACCGACGAATTCAAGACGGCGCTGGAAACGATCGCGGTTCTGAACCGGGTCAGCAGTACTGGCAGGGGCATGTGGTCGTTGAAGCCCCGGTTTCAATAAGCTCCCCATTTTCCTTGAAGGGCGCATTAGTTGAGCCGCTCCGAAGAGTCGATGCTTTTGTGTTTTCAAGTGATTTGCAAGGAGTTGGGGGAATTTGAGAATACAAGGAGTGAGGATAAAACGGGATACAAAGACCATATACCAGGTAGAACTAATTGCTGCTGCATGCATCACTTCATCTATCATTCGTTCGCACCTGCATAATAGGCAATTCAGAAGTGGCACATTTCACGAAAGAGTGTAGCTGACAGGGAGACAACTTTTCATAGCCTTCTTCGGGCGAATTCGTAACTGTCTACTGCATTGACATTGAGCCACATCATCCCCCTAGTACGGGAAGGACGATGAAACCACCCAGTGCAAAGCATGATAGAAATGGAGACCAGGCTTCAAGGGCCGTTCTCCTCGTTTTTTCTCAACGCCGCATAAAAGAACCAGATAGCGAAACTCCTGCCTTGATTCCCATCCACAGTTGCCAAACCGTGAAATTCGTATTGCATTTCTTTTCTTGTCATGTAGAAAATGAAATACGATATTTACAGACGACGACCACGGCGACCACCCTTTCTGCGAGTAGAGTCGGAGGGGGTAGGAGTGACGTCCTCAATGCGGCCAATCTTCATGCCGGCACGAGCCAGGGCACGGAGAGCGGACTGGGCACCGGGACCGGGGGTCTTGGTACCGTTACCTGCAAGAGTTCACCTTGTTAGTTTCCGATATTTCAAAACTGTAGGCCATTATCGAGAGCGCAAACATACCACCGGTGGCGCGGATCTTGATGTGCAGAGCGTTGATGCCAAGCTCCTTGCAGCGGGCAGCGACGTCCTGAGCAGCCAACATGGCAGCGTAGGGGGAGGACTCGTCACGGTCGGCCTTGACCTTCATTCCACCGGTGACACGGGTGATGGTTTCACGGCCGGACAGATCGGTGACGTGGACGAAGGTGTCGTTGAAGGAGGCGAAGATACGGGCAACGCCGAAGACGAGCTCGCCTAATGCGCCATTGTCAGTTTTACGTTCATTGTCGCTCTCGCTCATTTCCCTCTTTCATGGTCGCATAGTAAGAAAGCTCCGGTTGGGCGTCTGGAGCTCTTCAATTTGAAATTGTCGCTGTCGCTGGATTCAAAACGTACCATCGCGGGCAGAGGGGCCCAGGGAGATGTTCTCCTTAGGAGCGGCGACCTTCTTGGGAGGCATTTTGAAGTTTCGTTGACGTCTGGCTTTTCGTCACGGGGCTGTTGAGAACTGTCGAGCAGAGAACAAAGAGAAGGTCGTGATCCGCTTGAGTGGTGGTTGCAGAGAGCGATTAGAGAGGCGGTGGGGTGCGGCAGAATAATTTCTGCGCACAAAATTAGCGATGGAAAATCGAAGGCACAGCTTCGCTGCAAGCCCTGCCCTAGCACCTAAATTTTTTCGAGAGTGGAGACACTTGTGAAGGGATCCACCAACGAGAGTTGTCCGTTACCTGGGGATTTTTCCTTTCTGATCTGGTCTCTTTTTTCCTCTTCTTTTCCTCCAAGCACAGCTTCGCCGATACTGACAGACATCGCCAACAGCCTTCGTCGCCATAATGTCTACGTATGTGCCTCCTCCCTGAACGCCTTGCGGTACGGGGCAGATGCCCGATCTCGATTTGTTTGCAGATTGTCGTGGTCCTCTCGCTGGGCAGTCGATGAAAACCTTGTCTCAATGAGGAAGATCGATCTGCCAGCTCGATCCCTCCCGAGGCGTCTCCCTCAGTTTTTCAGAATCCTGGAAAATGGATTTTGCGAGCTGAGAGACGGCGCCATGGGGTGTTGGAGATGAAGAACCGCATCGTTTTTGCGTCTTCTCTTTTAAATCCATTGTCGCACAAGGGCGTTTCGCCTGGGTCTGGAATGGCCCAATTGCAATTGCCCGCGATTTACTCTTTCTTGGACGAGAATCCATTCTTTGTCTGGGGTGTTGTCGGATGAGCGCATCAAAGGCTTCAACCGAGCACTGCTGAAATATGCGTTGCCGGTTGTACCTGTCTCACCGATCAAATTCAGCTCGAGTCAGCCTTGTTGAGAATGTCGCATTTCAGCTACAGTTCTTGCATCGGCGCTCTGTTCCATATGCAAATATGGCGGACTACGTACTAATCTGAATGTTGAAATAGCACCGTCCCTACCAACGACCACATCCTGGTCCCTGAGACCCTCCTCAAGAAGCGCAAGAGCCAGGAGAAGGCTCGCGCTGAGCGTGCTGCCGTCGTTGAGAAGCGCAAGGCTGTATGTATTAATCTTTGCCCCCCTCACGTCTTCATGATGCACAACATACCGTCAACTAGACACTTTGTGTCGATGTCGTTGATAATTAACCTTCTTTCGGGTCTGATCTTTTTTTTTTTCCTTTTGGAATGCCCTCAAACATTTTGCGAAAACTGGTTGTTGGACAATCGTTAACACGCTTTTTCAATAGGCCAACAAGGAGAAGCGTGGCGTCATCTTCAAGCGTGCCGAGAAGTACGTTCAGGAGTACCGCAACGCTGAGCGTGAGAAGATTCGTCTTCGCCGCGCTGCTAAGGCCGATGACTCTGCCTACATCCCGGCTGAGGCTAAGCTGATCTTCGTCGTCCGTATCAAGGGGTATGTGTGAACTAGAGACTCAGAATGACAGCGGACGTTGGCTAACGAACTATCCAGTATCAACAAGATGCCCCCCAAGCCCCGCAAGGTCCTCCAGCTGCTCCGTCTGCTCCAGATCAACAACGGTGTCTTCCTCAAGGTCACCAAGGCCATCACCGAGATGCTCAAGATTGTTGAGCCTTGGATCGCCTACGGTTACCCCAACCTGAAGTCCGTCAAGGAGCTCATCTACAAGCGTGGATACGGCAAGGTCGACAAGCAGCGCGTTGCTCTGACCGACAACTCCATCATCGAGGCCAACCTCGGCAAGTACGGCATCATCTGCATTGAGGATCTCGTCCACGAGATCTTCACCGTTGGCCCCAACTTCAAGCAGGCCGCCAACTTCCTCTGGCCCTTCAAGCTGAGCAACCCCACCGGTGGCTTCCGCCCCCGCAAGTTCAAGCACTTCATCGAGGGTGGTGACCTTGGCAACCGCGAGGAGGCCATCAACGCTCTCATCCGCCAGATGAACTAAGTCAATCAAAACAAAAAATGGGTTTATGGATCTTGGTAGTGGGAATAGGGAAATATCCTGCATGGTTGCTCGGCGTTGGTATCACGACTTGGCCTTTGTTAAATTGACTCTTCGATGAATGACACTAGAGTTTCCATGTCGCGTGATTCCCAGTCTAGCTTCTAAGACATCTAGTTGCGCTGTGCCGTTATTACTTCGTATCTTCCCATGATTCTTGTACTACTAGTGGTATATTGCCCCCGTAATGTCTGGGGCAGCCCATTAAGTGGAAACTTTGATCAGGACCTTCCGCTTAGAGCGAATTTGCAAACCTTCTGGATGCAAGAGGTCTACGCCTTGATATCGAAACTTGTCCCGCACCCACAGCTGCTCGAAGCATATGGGTTGTCAACGATTTTGAACTGTGACCCAATCAACTCTTGTGTAAAATCCACCTTGCTGCCTGTTAACAGCTCCAGTGAGGGCTCGTCGAGTATGATCTTCGGGCTGTTCGGTGGCGGAGCAGCAGGATTAGACTCGTCGGGAACGTATTGGAAGATGCTGTCATCCTCGCCGATAATGGTCGATGTCGATGCGTCGCGCTCTTCGCCTGTAGGCATGGTGATAAGGCTCATGAGATACTGGAAACCGTGGCAGCCTCCGCTCTCAACTCGAATTCGCAAAGCCAGATTAGGATTCTTGTCCTTCGCCATAATCTCTGACAGTCGCTATATGAGACAGCTCGTTAGACATTGTTGGGGCAGAACAGGGAGTCGATGTATGCAACTGATCATAGGACGTACCTGAGCCGCCCGCGGAGTGATTTCCAACTTCATTTCTTTGCCCTCTTCGTCCTTGACTGGATTTCGAACGCATATTGTGGCGAGTCGGGTGGCGGAGACTGTAAATGATCGGCTAGACGGCTTCACACTTATAGGTAGGGCGGATGGTATCGAAACTCGTGTTATTGATAGGCGCTGTCCAAACCGAGGAGAAGCGCCAGCGTTTTGGAGTCGTGGAAAATGAGACGCTCTGTGTGGTATGAGGAATTCGAGAGGTGTTTGTTGTGTGTGCGAGGCAACCACTGAATATCGCCGTTTGGCAAGCTGAATAAAGGATGTCGCGGCAGATGTGCCGTCTGCGCAGCGTCTGGGAAGCATTGTTAGGCTGTCGAAACAAATCCTTCTGTAACTCCTATTGTATGGCAAAGAGTTCCAGGTTGACTTTCGCCGCAGAAGTTCGAGGAGATATCTAGTAGGTATCCGTCTTATTCCGCATCTTTGTCAGCCAGATCAATCAGAAGAAATTGTCCGCGGCAAATATCCGGCCTTATTCTTGGGAGGCATGCTAGTGGCCAGATAGCCTTACCTCAGCAGAGCCTTGGGAAACGCATTCGCTAAGCCCCAAGACATCGCCCCACCTCCCACCAAATTTCGTCGAATTTTCGACTTTCGACTTTTGAACCAACCCCGCGCACCTCGAAGAGAGTCCCTCGACACCCTTGGCCTGGCTCTCGATCCTTGCGGCAGTATCGAACGAAATTCAAAGGAAGGAAAAAGTTCGCCAATATGTCTCGCTTTTTCCGCAGCGGCGGTGACGACAGCTCCAGCGAGAGCTCCAGCGACGAGGAGGAGCTCTACTCCGGAGAGGAGGATCAGGAACTCGACCAGGAACAGTCCGAGGAAGAATCCGATGAGTTCGACAACTCCGACGACGAGAGTGAAGAGGCCGACAAGGATGCCGGCGGCGACCAGAAACAGGGTGCCTTCCGATTCTTGAGAGACAACGTTGCGTCCGACAGCGAAGGCAGCGATGATGAGGTCCGAGACAAGGTCAAGAGCGCACAGGTCAAGCGACTGGACGAGCTCGAGACATCAATCAAGCAAATTGAGAACGGCCAGAAAAATGGCGACTGGACCCTCATTTCCACCGGTATGGCAACCATCACGCCGTGATGATGATGACCAAGCGGCAATGCTAACATTACCTCCAAACTAGAGTTCGACAAGCTTAACCGACAAGTGTCCAAACTTCCTGCCGGCAGCAGAATACCCAAGCCTTATATCAAGATCATCGCCGAAATTGAGGAGTCAGTCAATGAGGCACTTGCAAAGGCCAAGGTCACGCCGAAGAAGATGAACGCCACGCAGGCTCGTGCCCTCAACGCCGTCAAGCAAAAGGTCAAGAAGACCAACAAGGATTACCAAGCCGAGATTGCAGTCTACCGCGAGGACAAGGACACCTACTTGTGGTCTTCAGACGAGGAAGAGGAGGTTCCCCAGCCCAAGGCTCCCAAGGCTGTCAAGTTTGACGAGACAGCTGGTGCTGAGGAGGTTGGCGATGATGGTTTCGCCACCGTTGGAAAGGGCGGCCGTACCCTGCAGTACACCCCTGAGAGCATCTTCAAGCACCTGCGAGGCATCATGGAGACTCGTGGCAAGAAGAACACGGACAGACTTGAGCAGATCAAGGTGATGGAGAAGCTCAACGAGATCGCCAACACTCCTTACCAGAAGATTCGCGTTCTTCTGACCCTGGTCTCTGCCCGGTTCGACCTTGGCTCCGGAGCCACCAACGTCATGCCCCTGGATCACTGGAAGGCTGCTGAGAAGGAACTGTCTCAGCTTCTGACAATCCTCTCTGAGTCAAAGGAGTACGTCGTACTGGAGAATGTTGAAGAGTGGGATGACGACGAGAAGCCACCCACCCTGCAGCCTGGCGAGAAGTACATCAAGGTTGCCGGTAGCATCGTCTCATACGTTGAGCGACTTGACGATGAACTTCACCGATCTCTGCAGAGCATCGATCCCCATACCTCAGAGTACATTGAGCGCCTGCAGGACGAGGGTGCACTGTACAACGTCATCTTCCGCGGTCTCTTGTACTACGAGGCTCTGAAGAAGGATGAGACGCTGGATGTCCCTCAGGACAGTGTTAACCGCATTGTCATGCGACGACTGGAGCACGTCTACTTCAAGGTGAGATCATCATGAGCCGCAGTCTTTTCTGTCGTGCCGCGCTAACTGTGATTTTATAGCCCGCCCAGGTTGTCAAGACGTTCGAAGAGAACTGCTGGAAGGCGGTTGGCGAGGATGTCGACTCTACCACCACTCCCCGTTCTCAGGCTCTGGAACCCGCCAACCTCGTGAACGTTCTCTGCGCCTATCTCTACGCCAACAGCGAGGGCATTCTCCGTGCCAGAGCTCTGCTCTGCCAAGTCTACTTCCTCGCTCTGCACGATGAGTACTACAAGGCTCGCGACATGATGCTCATGTCGCACTTGCAGGAGACCGTCACGGGCTTCGACATTCAGAGCCAGATTCTATACAACCGGACTCTGGTCCAGGTCGGTCTCTGCGCTTTCCGCAAGGGCCTGATCTACGACGCCCAGAACACCCTTCAAGAAATCTGCGGTAGTGGACGCCAAAAGGAGCTGCTCGCCCAGGGTGTCATGATGCAGAGATACAGCCAGGTTTCTCCCGAACAGGAGCGCCTTGAGAAGCAGAGACAGCTGCCCTTCCACATGCACATCAACCTGGAGCTGCTTGAGTGCGTCTACCTCACCTGCAGCATGCTTCTGGAGATTCCCCTCCTCGCCCAGACCGGCTCCTCTCCCGACGTGAAGAAGCGCGTCATCAGCAAGACCTACCGCCGTATGCTGGAGTACCACGAGAGACAGATCTTTACCGGACCGCCCGAGAACACCCGTGACCACGTGATGCAGGCCTCCAAGGCTCTTGCTGCTGGCGAGTGGAAGAGGTCTATTAGCTACATCCACAGCATCAAGATTTGGGACCTGATGCCCAACACGGATGAGATCAAGGAAATGCTGTCCAAGCAGATCCAGGAGGAGGGCCTGCGGACATACCTCTTCACCTATGCCCCCTTCTACGACACCCTCGCCGTTGAGACTCTCAGCAACATGTTCGAGCTCGACTCCACCAAGGTGGCTGCCGTCATCAGCAAGATGATCAGCCACGAGGAGCTGGCGGCCTCTCTTGACCAGGTCACTAACAACGTCATCTTCCGCAAGGGCGTTGAGCTTAGCAGACTCCAGTCATTGGCCCTCGCCCTGTCAGACAAGGCCAGCGCGCTCATCGAGACCAACGAACGGACGTTGGAGCAGCGCACGCAGGGCACCTCAAATGCCTTTGAGAGACAAGGCGGCAGGGGCAGGGGCGGCCACCGGGGAGGCCAGCGTGGAGGCAGAGGAGGGCCTCGCGGCGGCGGCAACCCGCAGCGACAGGCTGGTGGCACGCAGTTCACCGGCGGAGCTCTGGGAGCTGCCGTGAGAGGATAGAGTGGCAACATGTGTTTATGAGAGGGGTGGCTGGCAGGGCGTCCGTATTGGTCTTTTGACACTTTTTCTTTGATGTGTTTTCAAATCCCCCTTTTACTCTCTCTTGTGTGCTTGCATGGGATTAGGGAGGGATTTCTCTTGTATTGGAAGAAAAAGTCCCGAACAATGGGCGAGGAAACGGAGGGAACTCGCTGCATCTGTTTGATGGGTTGAACTGGAAATTTTCAAAAAGGGAATGCATAAAACATAGAATGAATGTTGACCTTTTTTTCTCATGATTGCTCTGACCCTAGTTTGCACTATGCGAAGTAAGATGAACATCGCCAGGCCTTTCCTATAAGAGATTCCGGCTTCGTGGTGCAAGCCTCACTCACTCCCTTCCCTTTCAATTGGTAAAATGCTGGGCAAAAAGAGCTCCAAAGAATACAATAAATTGTCACTGAGGACTTGATAGGAGTTTGTTTCTATATACCTGGGCCAGGCAGTATGTGAATCAAATTGTATAGACCTAGCAGAGCTCCGTGCGGTGGATTCGGTGGAGCGCCAACCGACCGACCTCGAAACCATCCAATTCATTGTCCTACCGTGGCACCGGGGGCGTATGCCATTTCGGACACGATTATTTTCCATCCTCGAAGTCCGACTTAGGCTCACATAGAGAACTCGGAGCCGACGGCAGTAGGCGAGGCGTGGAGCAATTCGCGGCAAGTTCCATCTGCACCCAGCGGATCTCGCCCGCTCACACACGCCTTAATATCCGAGGTTTTGTGGGGGTGGACCTCGGCAGCGCTTCGACGCGAGGCTGGCAGTGGGTTAAAAGACGAAACAGAGATCGAAGATGACAAGGGATCAACTGGGTTGCTCACCCAAGCAATTAATCGAGTTTATCTGTGAAGAAAGTCTCGACGCGTGATCGGTCTCGTGTCAATTGGTTACTATTTGGCTCGTGCCGGTTTCGCCCAGCGTCTGTTCGTTGCAAGGAAGTACAGGTAGTACTACCGACCTTCCAACCTAAGGCACCGAACGATTAGCTCTAATCGATAGCCGACGTCTTGATCGTCATCACAGAGTCCCTTCTCTCCTCTCCTCGCCTCTCAGCGTCGTGCCTCTGCTGCTCTTTGCCGTGCCGCGACCATGACCGACGCCGCTGTCGACACCGGTGCGGCCGACATCGCCGTCGACTCGGCCCCGACAGAAGTAGCCGCCGCGATCGACTCCTCCGCCCTGACTGTCGCCGACCCTGTTCCCTCGATCACCACGCCGGCCAAGGTCCCCATTGGCGCTGTGCTCGCTGCCGTGCCCTCCAACGCGGATGCCTTTGCTGGCCATCTGCTGCGGTGCCTGCAGACCCGCGCCGGAGCCGACGCCGTCCTGCAGTTCCTTTGCTACTCGTCCAAGCTGACGGGCGCCGTGCTCGAGACGCTGAGCCGCAATGCGCTGCGCCAATCCGCGCAGAAGCTGGTGGCCATGGCCTTCCAGCTGCCGCCCGCCACGACGGTGGTTCTTTCGTCGGCCCCGGCGCCTCCCGGAGCGGCCTTTGCGCTCAGCCTGGCGACCAAGCTCAAAGCCTTTGCTGCCGTGCTGAGCGAGGCGCGGACGATCAACCGGCTCTGGGGCCTGCTGGGTCTCTATTTTGCGCTCAAGAGGGTCCTCACCAGGCCACGCGCCAAACAGCAAGAATCCGAAAAAGAGTCTTCGGATGCCGTCGTGGAGGCTCGGTTCGAGAGAGTCTTCTCCGTTGCCCAGATCGTCATCCTCATCCTATATCAAGTTTTCGAGAATCTCGCGTTCCTAGGCAGCAAGAAGGCCATTGACCTGAAGCCGGCGACGATGGGCAAGTTTGGCCTCCTCAGCGTGCGGTGTTGGGGCACGTATACCTTTATGGAACTCGGCAGACTGCTGCTGGAGCGCGCACGATCAAGCGCAAAGGTCAAGGACGCCGCCTGGTTGAACACTTGGAACAAGAGCTTCTTCCGCAACCTGGCATGGGCCCCATTAACTGTCCAATGGGGCATGGTTGGCGGAGGACCTCTGCCGGAGACGCTGGTGGCGCTGCTGGCCATGTACCCGTCAACGGGACAGATGATCGATCTCTGGCGAGAGACGGCGTGATCGCATGAGAGAGTCAAATCTCTCTCCACAGGCGCCGAGCCATTTCTTGGGCTGTTGCCTGAGCGGCTGTGTTACCCGCGAGTTTGAACGGGAAGGGCTCACAGTATCCGACAAGGCTCCGCGCTCTTTTTTTTTGACACCTGTCTCAGTATAAATTGTGGCATATAGATCAGAAGCGCACATGGATCTTTCACCGTAGTACAACGACGGCCGCACTTGGTTCTCGCAGGAGTGACGATGAGAAGCTATGTGGCAAAGGTAGAATGTTGGATAATTTTGTACGGCTTTTTTCTTGTCTGCATCTGCGTTGTTTAGGTACATTTGCACCTTCATGTAATCATCACGCTGTCTCCAGCTGTTTACGGCTTATGATTAAATGCATGTTCTTCTTTTCCAACGTTCATCTATCGTATATACATTCCCAGACTTTCCAATACCAGATCTCATGACAAAACAAAGAAGAACAAACGACGAAATCAAACGGCGACGAAATCCATACAACAAGCCTACCCTATTCACATCTGGAGCCGCCGAATTTCCTGCACCGTCCAGTACTTCCTCATGTTCTCCGCCCCCAGCGATCTCACCTCGTCGTCGAGGTGCGCCCACAGCACGCCCCCCCAGCTCTCCATCTTCTCCTTCAACACGCTCAGCTCAAAATCCCTCTCGCCGCTCTTAACCTGTCTGAGGTACTTTTCAAACTCCTCCAGCCCGTCGTGGATCTGCGCGTGCTGCTTCACCAGGTCCCCGTTCTTGGGGTCGAACTCGGGCATCCGCCGAGCCAGCTGGGGGAAGACGTACGTCTCCTCGATGGAGTGGTGGATGGTGAGGTGCTCGGCGAACTCGGTGCCGATCTGGAGCAGCTGCTTGATGGACATGCTTTGGGGGCGGCGGCCGGTGGTGCAGGCTTGCCAGAGGACGTTCCAGGACTGCCGGAAGTTGTTGTGCTGTGAGAAGAGTGTGAGACGACATTTGCGCATGTGCATACGTATGTGTACGTGAATGTGTATTGTGTGTCTATGTGTGTAGGGGTGTCATTGGATAGATGTTATGGCGAGTGAGCGTGCATCATCGACATCAATGCCCGACTTACAAACCAATCCATTCTCTCGGCCAGACGGTTATAGATCTTGAACTCGTGGTCTGAAAGCGGAGGAAGCTCCTCTTTAGCAGGGCCTGCATTCTGCTTGTTGTCGTCTGAAGCGTCAGCCTCAGCCCCAGCCATGTTGACGGCGTATCGCTTTGGTACAGAGTTTGATATAACTCTTCTTCTCCCTCTCGGTGCTGTAGCAGCAATGGCACGCCCAGTCACAATGGCACTAGCTTGCTCGAGCAGGGGAACTCTCGTCTGGGCCGTCCTGATGATCATTCGTCTTTGGCTCTTCTACGGTCTTCTCTCTCTCTCGCGTCTCTTCTTCCCTTCCTATTTGCTGTTTATTCACAACAAGGCGGAATTATTCTTTATACATAGTTGACCAAAATCTTTTTGCATCCAGTTGTCCCGATAGATCTAGTCGCCAGGTGTCCTGTGATTGGTCAAGATGGTGCTAAAGTGGACTCCACAGGATGACACACGCATCTGTCAGCGTCGGCTTTGATGAATAATTCTCCGCAATGACCTGCGCGGTGCCGTCTCCGATTCGACCCCGTCAATCCCATTCATCTTTCAATGTCCGCAGCGGGACGACGATGATGGCCGAGATGCTGGTCCTCGACGTCTATTCTGTGGAGCGGGCTGGGCCGATGGGCCGAGTTGGAATGTCGATGCGCGGGTGGCCGCACGAGGGCGATGTATGTATGTGATGTCGATATGTACACTGCATGGCAGATCAGAAGCTGCTTCTTTGGCGTGAAGTGTCTCGGATAGCCTCTCGCTTTCCGACTTCCATACCCCATGTCACATCCTTGTGCGACGTGGTGCCTCAGTACATCACCTGTCAGGAACCCAGGATGTGTGGCGCAAAGACTTACAGGTACGACAACTTCGACGGTTGCACGATGCTAGATCGCATCTCATGGTGATTCTCTCTTGTACGACTTGGAGTGGCATATCAAAGGCCTCAAGGTGTCCCTGTTGGCAGCAGTTGTGCAATCAATGAATGTCTGCTGTCCAGTTGTCTACCGTGAACACCACATAGTACACGTGCAGTGGCGAAGCGACTAATCAATAACACAGAGGCAATCTGGATGAAACCCTAGAAATCAAAAGCTAACAAGATCAAGACATGCTACGCTGGTCCTCAACAGAAATCCCTCCTTGTCTTTAGGTGAACGCCTTCCCACAGGCACCTCCCCGGTCGCCCACGCACCGCTTGCGCACCACTTGAGCCAGTTCCGTCTTTGGCGATATGAAAGGCTTAATGGTCGGACGCACATTCATCCTTTGCTCAAAGTCATACGCCATCGCAAACAGCTTCTCCTCGCTGAACGCAGCCCCCGAAAACGCGATGCCGAATGGGCCGTTGGGGGCCGACAGTATCAGATTCCCCTGCTCCGACTCGATGATGGGCGTATCGTCCGGGCTGCGTCCCAGGGGCACGCTGACCACGGGCAGTCCCAGGCCAGAAGCCATGACAACAGAGTGCGGTGTCGGCAGAACCATTGCGTCCAGCTTGTACTTGTCCAGCGCCCCTGTGAAGCACAGGGGGCCGAGGTACTCCGTGATGGCGGTGACGTTGGACCAGTAACTCGGCGCCGTGTTGTTGATGCCAAAACTGAGGAAGTTGTCCCAGGAGCCGGTGTCGAACCGTGGGAATCCCTCGTGAGGATTCTCCCTGGTGAACTCTCGCAGTTCTCGGACTGAGGAGATGTTGTTCGGGTTCTCTTTGAGAAGGTCGAGATACTTGGTGGGCAAGTCGGATAAGAAGTCGGCCCCCACGATGGAGAAGACGGCGGCAACGATGGAGAATGGGGGGTCTTGGCCTTGGAGATCGTTGGCGAATGCCTGAGTACAGGGCAGTTCAATGTCGTCAATGATCTCGGCACCGGCTGCCCGAAGCACGTCCAGCGCTCTCTCAAACGCCTCCGGGTCGGTTTTGGCCGTCGGGTCAATGTCTGCCGCCATTGTGTTGCGAGACACGCCGAGCCGCTTGCCCTTGAGGCCCGAATCGGTGCATGCGGCAACGTAGTCTGGCAGCTCGTCAAAGGGTATCGCGTCTGTATAGTTGTCCCGCGTGTCAGGCCCGGCCATGGCCTGCATGAGATATGCGGCGTCCTTGACAGTCCGGGTCAGAGTCCCGACGGTGTCCTGCCGCTCTGAATACGGAATCACCAGGTATCTCGACGTCAGTCCTACCGTGGGGCGGAATCCGACGACATTGTTTGCATGCCCAGGCAAGAGGATCGAGCCGCCAGTATCCGTTCCCACCGCGGCCCATGCGAGACCGAGAGAGGCAGACACGGCACTCCCCGAAGACGAACCTCTAGGGTTCTGTTTTGGGAAGTAAGCGCCAACTGCCTGGCCGCCGTGGGCCGACCAGCCCTCGTGGCTGACCAGCTCGCGAGAAGCAGCCCATTGCGACATGTTGGCTTTGCCGAGGATGATGGCCCCGGCCTTGCGCAGCTTGGCGGCGATGGTGCTGTCCTCTGGGACCTTGGCCCCCAGCAGTGCGTATGAGCCCGCGGTGTTGTTCATCTCGTCGTCCGTTGCGATGTTGTTCTTGAGAAGGATGGGGATGCCATGGAGAGGCTGCTTGGCCGGGTCTATGCCCGCCCTCCTCTCCGCATCACGCTCGGAAGCTATCAGAAGCGCATCGGGGTTGATCTCAGTGACCGCCTTCAGCACCGAGTTGACCTCCAAGATTCTATCGATGTAGGCGGTGACCAGGTCGACGCTGGTGAACATGTCGCTGTCCAAACCGAGCCGCAGGTCAGCGAGAGTGGCGTCCAACAATGGAGGAAAATCGCCATCTGCAGTTGGTCGGGCATGAGACAGACATGGAAAAGACAAGACCCGCAGGGCCGTGGCCAATGCAAGAACGGGCCTCATTGTTGAATAAGTGCTACGATTTCCCTCTCTCTTCGAATCACTTTCAAGGGGTCGGCATCAGTATCAAGGCTCGTTATTTCATTCCAGCGTTTCTTTCACCAAGGAGAAAGGATACGGGTATTTATATGCCTGGGTGCGTCACGAATATTACTCTGACGCTGCCATCGGCTATCACTCAGCTGCTTGGAACACATAGGACCAGCAGCGAGCGCACACCCAGACGGGCAGCACTGCGGACCGCTATCCCACGCCCGAAGCATTTGATCATTCAGTGTAGTAATAATTGTCTTTCAATATCCGGAGGGTCATTGTCAGACAATTGAGTACCGACAGGAAGGATGACCGGCTGTGGAACTCGGCACTGGAGGGAGCTTAGCCGCTTGTCCCTGCAGAAGCGCTACAAAGTACGACTACCATCAAAAGTCTGTTCGTACTGTTGTGCTACCACCAGAACATTGTAACTTCTGGGTACGAGATACTAACTACTATAATTTGTATGAGGAGTGGCTGCCGCTCACAGTGGGGATTCCCAACTTGTGCCTTTGAGTAAGACACTCGGGCAAAGGTGGAGGAGGCTGCGATGCAACCATTTCGCAAGATATCACTCGTATCTCCCCATCTGGCTGAAGACAGGTGGGTAGGAGCGGGAGTGCGAGGGCCTCGTCTTCTCTTGGAGACATGCTGTCACATATCTTACTCCATCACAGGTACTCCGTACAGCTCATGCGGTCCAAAGGAGCCAGAAGCAGACATCGGACCCTGCTCCGGTAATGTCTCGTACCTACACCAGAGGGCTTTTGTTTTGCTAGGTACGTTGATAATCAGTTACTACGATATACTTTTGCGTTTGATCTTGGTAACGATACCATGGGCTTACTATGGTCTCCGTTCTCGGATGTGTCGATGCTACGCCGAAGCCCGACTCTCTCGGCTTCATCACAACCCCTCTCCAAGAATCGAACCCAGTAGCATAGAGACCGTGTATCTTATCTACGGGCACGCTGACATTTTCTTCCCTTTAATGTAACGTACCCCGTGGTTTATGGCCGCGTGAGCGGCTGCCTTGGGATTGCCAAGAGCGAACTCGGTTGCCAGGTAGGAAAGATTGTCTGTCGATCACGGCTGACCTTTTGGTATGTATAATATTAAGCTTATGTCTGAGATGGAACTTCTGGTGACCCCGGTAATGTGACTGCTGCTGCTTTGACTTATTCCAGAAGTCAGGGCTGAGTAAGGGCCGGAGTGCTGCAAGTTCAGAGAACTTGCCTTTCTCCATCACACTTGATCTGGTCGATATCGTAACGGCCCGGTTTGGTCACGCAAAGAACAGCTCTACATGTGGAGTGTGAGACGACTCCGGGTGCCTGTTTCTACGTAAAGGCAGCACACGTCGATATTGGGTACAGGTACGTGGAATGGGCGTGGTGAACAATGTGAGAATACTGAGTGTTCCCTGATTACGAGCTGAGTAACATTCTTACATGCTGCAATTGGAGCCGAGTAAGTTGATCGCAGGATAGAGATTGTCTCTGGCAGATCTTGTTTGCACCGTCGATTCTGACACTTCTAGTACACGAACCCGCGCATTCGGTACAAAGAGTCGTAGACAGCAGTGGTCGGAACGACAAGCACTCGTGATAACATGGAGCACAGGGTCATGCTAACAGCCGTGTCAAGAGCATCGAAATTACGTGTCCCGCGCAGAAGCCCAGGAACAACAGCACTGGAACTCCTCTGATTGGCTGCTTGTACGGTCATTGTCGCAACATCTCACACACCAATAAGCATCCATGCTGCGATCTTTCATTGTTGGCACTCCACATTGAGCCATAGAGTCTCAGTTGGGCTGAGTACCGGACAAGTCTCTATGGCCCCCAGGAACCACTCCGACGTCACGACTTGAGGCTAGATGGTCCACATGATTCTGTGTCTTGAGCAATCGCCCATTCCCCTGTCTGTACTTTTGTACGGGATTGTGATGGTCCACCTATCAAGACGAGCTGAGACTGAGACAAGCTGGACGTCTTCTTACAATGCCAGAGCCTGTGGTGAGCACACACTTCCTTGGCAAAGATTTTGATCTGCACGCCCAAAGACGAAATGAGCAAGCCTGAGGCTCAATGACAGACAACTCTGCCCTTATCATGGACCTGACCTGGTCGCCGGAGCGACATTGGTGCATGTCTCACTTGCTCATCTGTACGGTCCCTGTCATTCCTACCTGGGGCCTCTTTGCGCTTTGTACGGGTAGGGCCGGTATTACCTGTACCACCACTACTACTACTAGTAGTACTCATGATCTATGAGCCTCGGCTTGAAAATGACGCCCGTCTCCGCGAGACTATCCGAGACATGTTTCATTGTCAACGTGCTAGGCTGTCTCAGAGGCAACAAATGTCCGGAGCGGTGGATGCCCTTCTTACAGCCCTGGCTGGCTCCTGTTTACTGTCTTCTTTCGGGTTCGACCCCTTCATCTTACTGGGACACAAAACAGCCAATACGCTTATCATCTCCCTCGATATCCTGATGCTTATGCCTGGGCGGGACTCTATCAAGGGAGCATGGCGACATCCACTGTATGTTCACCCATATCATTGCATAGCTTGGGACAAATTCGGGTTTGGGGACCACTGGTATATATACACGTCAGAAACGAAAGGTTATTTATAAGACCAGGCTGTTGATAGATTCGAGGTAAATAAGAAAGGCTAAGTAGGGAGCTACGCATAAGTCGGTGCGAATGAGTATTGAGTAGAACATAGACGAGTGTAGAAAAGAGTCAATCGAACACATACTCATCTTGGAAGTATGAGTGAGCCTCCAGACTAACCGAATCATCATGGCATTGTGGCCTTCTCCATCACATCGAAGACTTCAGTAGCATGTGATGCAGTGAGCTCAGATCAACAACATCCTAGGATCACGAGATCGGTACAGAGCTCACCGCTGCAAGTTCAAGCAGCTGATCTTTCCTCTGAAACTTCCCCCCTCGCCCTCGTATACTCGTAACTGGCCAGTCATGGTAAAACACGGTCTTAGAAAGGAGTTGCTGATAGCTGTTCGTGATACTGGTCGTGACGCTGAGATAATTGTGATTCCAAATCCTGCGAGAAGTCTCAGTTTCGTCCGCCTTATCTCGGCCATCACCCGAGAACCTTTTGAAACCGATGTTTCATCTGCAAACCGGGAAGTTGGACTGGCACATTCCTCCTCATTCACCTTCTTCATGCGTCTTCTACATACTCTGCTAACGAACACTAACCTCCCACAACACTCATCCATCTACTCATCATCCTCCAGCCCAACAAGCTTGAGCGAGTCTCTCCAGAGCCTCGCCTCCTCCTTCTCGTCATACGTATGGCTCACCGTCGTCGGGCTTGACATATCGCCGTCGTCAGGCCCCGGCTTGGCCTCGGAAACATCGCTCAGGTACTTGCCCCCCTTGCCCTCCCACTCCCTGCCGATGGCGGCCCAGACCTGCGTCGCGGCGCCCTGCTCGGGACTCTTCATGCCGAGCAGGACCTCGGGCCCGATCTGGGCAACCATGGCCTTGGCCTCCTCCTCGGGGATGTGCCGCATCAGGCCCGTCCGGATGCCGCCTGGGTGGACGCTCAGCGCGTGCAGCCCTCGCGAGCCGTAGCGGCGCTCAATCTCGTTGGCCATGTAGACGTTGGCCGCCTTGGACTGCGCGTACGCCACCCACTTGTTGTAGTCGCCCTGCTGGAAGCTGTAGTTGTCCGAGGCCTGCAGCCCGGCGAAGCGGTGCGCGGCGGACGAGACGTTGACGACGCGCGAGGCAAAGTCGGGGGTGCTCCCGGCGAGCAGCGCGGGCTTGAGGAGCTGGAAGAGGAGGAAGTGCGACAGGTGGTTGACGCCAAACTGCAGCTCGTGGCCGTCCTTGGTGAGCTGCAGGTCGGGGATGGCCATGATGCCGGCGTTGTTGACGAGGATGCTGATCTTGTCGGCGCTGGCGAGGATCGCCTGTGCGGCCTGCCGGACGCTGTCGAGCGACGCCTGGTCCATCTGAACGAGCTTCATGCGGGACGGCTCGAAGGCGTCGCCGAGGGCCTTCTTGGCCTTTTCGACGTCGCGGGCGGTCAGGATGAAGGAGGCGCCCGTGGTGGCCAGGGCGCGGACCGTCTCGACGCCGAGCCCGGAGGAGACGCCGGTGACGACAATGGTCTTGCCCTTGAGCTTGTCCGTCATCTGCTCGTCCTCGACGACCTGGAGGGCTGTTGGGCGAGCATCTCCGGGGCCTTGGGGGGAGACGTGAGCCTCTGCGTATCGAGACATGACAGGGTGCGTATAAGTGACGAAGCGATGCAAGTGGTGGAGGTTCTTGTAAGTGGTGTAAGTGGTGTAAGTGGTGTCGATGATGTATTCGGTGTCGAGTGAGCAATGCTTCCCCCCTTTGATTTCTTCTTGCGTCTCTGTGTAATCCAGCAACCATAGACGCCGTCCTCTCCCGCCTTATATATCCCATCCAGCTCTTTGAATCTTCATCAACCAAGGTCTAATGAAGTCCCAGAGTTTCCTCGCGTTTCCATCATCTCCATCGTCTGCAACCTCCCCCTTTCATGCACGAACCTCTCCCATCTCCCATTAAGTCCGTGAATAGCTTCAACCTGCCCCGCTGATGCTTTTTCCCTCCTTCAGCCTAGGTAGTTCTCTCAACCGGCGGACTTGTGGAAACGCCGCCTCGAGTCCCCACAAGTGCCGGTTCCGCCGCCTCGAGATGACCGTTTTTGCCGCTTCCGGGTTAGTCTGCCGGCGTGGCATCTAAACGCCGGCCCCTAGCCGCAGCAATCCTGGAACTGCTCTACTCGACTTGTCTTCTTCCTCTTATTGTTTCATGTCCTTTTATTGATCTCTCCAGGGAATCGTGGGCATACAAGGTGCCTGGCGTCTCTGCACTCTTGCTTGTATTACCGCCCGTCACTCGCTGTTACGACTTTACACTTGCACTGCTATACTTCGTACCACCTTGCCACGTCCTTCTCCTCATCAGCCATGGTGCCAAGCCAACGTGCACCCACACGAGCATCTCACAGACCCGATGCCGTTGTTGATGCCAATGCTGCTCCAACAGCGAGCGAGATACGTCACGCACGTAGAAGGATCCAGAACCGGCTGAACCAGAGAGCACACCGTACGTAGAGCAATGACTTGATGCTTTCTTCTCATGCAGGATAGTGGAGGGGGGAGGCAAGGAAAGAAGGGGAATCAAGAAAACGGTTAGGCTAACAGCAGCTCGGGCATAAAAGGATCAAGAGCACGGGATAGGAAGGTTGGCAGCACGGCACAGCCCTATCACGTCCATCGATGGCGGATAGATGACGGAAGAGATGACATGCCACGCATCATCAGGCCAGCCAGGAAGAACAACTCCGATCGTGGCTCTGGCTCTGGTGTGCCTGTGAACAAGACCAAGCCCGCTCCGTCCAGTGATCCGGCCCTCTCAGGCCTTCCAGGACAGCACCAGGAGTCTGATCCGCATTGTACGTCGCTAGCCCCCTCCGCATCCGCCTCGATCCAAGGCCGTGCCACCACCGCTCCCCCCTGGCTGAGCCTCAGCTACTGCCTCCTCTCCGACCATCTCCTGCACCTGATCCACTTCAACGTCCTCAGGGGCCTCTCGTACAACAAGCGAGTCATCAAGCCCACCGCGCTGCTCGAGTGCAGCGGCACCGCCTCGGCCCAGCTGAAGCGTGTCCTCCCCCATCTCCCCGAGCCGAGCTCCCTGTCGCCGCCGCTGTGCCTCCCCGAGAGCCTGGCGCCGACGACGCTGCAGCTGTCGTGCCCCCACTCCACCTGGATCGACGTGTTTCCCTTTCCGAAGATGAGGGACAACCTGATTCGGTGGGAGAACTACTTCAGCCATGCCGAGTTCCTGACGGACCTGCTGGGGAACCTGATTAGCTGCATGACCAATCCGCCGCCGAGGACAGGTCGCGGCAGCCGCCTGTTGCGCGTCAGGGCCCGGGTCGCCGCTCATCAGGGGGTATTAGGGGAGGGTGGTGATGATGATGATGATGATCGTGCTGATTACGGTGACGATGACGGGAATGACGGCGGTGCAGGCGACGATGCTCCGGCAGACCGCAGAGGATTCATCCTGTGGGGAGAGCCCTTTCACAAGGACAGCTGGGAGGTGACGCCGGGGTTTCTGAGGAAGTGGTCGTGGGCGATTGAGGGCTGTAGCGAGCTGATTGAATCGAGCAATCGGTGGAGGACGGCGAGGGGAGAGACGCCGCTGCGGATGATGCTTTCGTAGAGGATACAGAACCAAAGATTGTCATGTAAGCCATTCTTATGTTCTAAATACATGATACCGCTTTTCGCTCGAGTTGGCAGATTTGGTCTATTCGTCTATAATGTAGCTTTGAAAGCCGTCTATCCGTCTATCCTTCATCATCAAGTTCATCATGTAAGTCGTAAGCCAGAGTCAATCCCGGGTATCATCGTCCTCTTTCCTTCGGCACGGGTATCATCCCTTCCAGAGATTTCGTATTTCATCCGTCATGATACCTTTATTCGCCGTTTGATACGCATTCGCTTTTGGTGGTTGATTCATACGCCGGCGGTGGTTCCATCACGATCACTTCATACGCCGCACCAGCATACTAGTAAACACCCAAGTTAGCCCCCTTGTCCATGATTTTCAGCAGCCAGTAGCATCCAAAACTCACCTTTATATCGTTCCCCAGCCCAATGGATATCCCCGCCACCATCTCCATCACGTGGCCCAGCTTCAACACGCAAGACTCCGTCGTCGGCTTGGTGTTCAAGACGAAAAAGTTGCCCCACGCCCCCGAATCGAGCTCAAACAGCTCGCTGTCAATCTTGACCGCCCCGGCCATGCTGAGCCCGCGGTTCCTCTGCGTGACTGTTTTCGGCAACGCGCCGGTGGACGTCGTGACGGACGACTTCAGGTCCATCGAGATGTGCCGCAGATAGACATTGCCCGCCTCGATCAGGTCCGTGGGCGTGTGGACGACGATCCGGACCGGCGTCGGCTGGCCTCGGATCAGGACGGCCGGCTGCGAGAAGATGAACTCGAGCTTGATGCACGGCGCGGACTTCGGGTTATACGAGGGGCACGAGCCGTCCGGGCGCTCCTGGTCCTCCGCCGCGCTGCGCAGTTGGGCGAGCTGTTGGCCGGGCTTCTCCGCCATCGGCACCGACAAGACGAAGGTCGACCGCGGAAGCTTGGAAGTGGACGGGTTGCAGCTGAAGGGAACCTCCATCGCCACGCTCTTGGACTTTGTCATCGGGCCGAGCACGCTGCGGCCGACGGACACGGTCAAGGTGTACTTGACCTTGACCCGCATGCCCTGCTCGGCAACGTCCATCGTGGGTGGGAGCTGGCATTTCTTGGACTTGTCGCAATAGCAGGCGCCGGCGGGGAACTGGAACTCGACGGGCGTGGTGTATATCGACTCGCCAGTGGAAGCGTCTTCGCTCCACTGCAGGTCCCGATAGTCTATCGTCTTGGACTGCTCAAACAGCTGCAGACCAAATCAACAAAAGTCAGCACTTGAGTGTTCAAAAGAGTATCAGTATCAGAATAACCGCTACTCACCACATTCGTCACCTGTCCAGGGCTCGCGGCGTTAATCTGCGTGGGATACGACACCATCAGGGCGCCGGCGAGCTTCGCCGAGATGCGCGGCGATTTTTGAAAGGCAGGCCCTCGTATTTCGAGCGATGCTCTTACGCAGTCCCGCGCAAGGTAGGGGCCCTGGAGGGCATCCGTGAGACCGAGACTCAGCTTCATGGTGGCAGAACTGGGTGACGAGGACTTGGTGGAGATTCCGCTGGTGTCGCGACGGCGGTTTGGATTGGCCGTACGGGGGCTGGCGATACATGGGGTTGTATTTTATGGACGGGGACGCACGAGGGCTGGTTATGCGCATGTGATGACTGTGTGCTCGTAGTGCTGCATTTGAGTTTATGCCCGTCAGAAGGATGATGTAGGAGGCCGATTATGAAGAGTGGTGATGTATGGAATCATGCAGAGGAGGCTGCTTCATCGTACATGTAAACATATATATATATATTAATCAACAATCGAGCCTTGACGCAAGCCATCATGCCAAAGTCATCCACCCTTATCGTCCCTCGTGGAACTAGCCCATCTTCTAGAAGCGCCATCGTCAGACTTCAGACAATGAAAATCGCGAAGCCACCAGGGCGAAACGCAGCCGATTGGTCCAGAAGAACTGAGTCAGCACGACGAGAGCCGGCTGAAGTATCTCCCATATGCTTGTTTTGTCGGGCATGAGTCGGGGAAGCGGCGAGGCGGCGACCCTGGCGTCGCTGCCACAGTGTTCGGCGTTTCGGTATCGTCACCGAGAACTGACATCACAGCCCCATCTGCCTTGATCAGACGCACTGTGACGACGGCAGGCGGAGATGCGCCTCCGCTCCCAACGGGGCAAGTGCTGAGGCCGTTGACGGAGAGGGTGAGTTTCGAGTTTGACATCCTGATTTTTCTTTCAGTTGGTTTGCATAACCGAGGTTATCGTGATGGTCTGATGGTGAGCCCATTTCTATGATTGAGAAAAGGCCGATGCTGAAGCAACGTACGCATCGCTAACTAATCTGCAGTTGCATACGGAGTACAACGAGGCAGCCGTGGGTGGCGAATAAGATATACGCATATCAAACCAAGTATGAGTACATACACGTACTCAGCAGTTCCGTCGCTCATCTTACATGAAATGAAGTACATAAAGATTCAAAGCCAATCTTTGACCTAAATTGGCCGTAAACATGGTACATAAGAAGTAAAAGACGTCCAAAATCCAACCCACCCTTCACATTAAGCAACGTGGGGAATATTGGATGTCCAGGTAGAAACATAGGAACCAGGGGGCAAAAAGCAAAGCGTTCGAAAGATCTCGACAAGAATGAACAGCCGGGCAAAGATGTATAAGAACATGCAAAGAGAGCCAAAACCCAGATGAAGGGCAGCTAGTCTCCGTACGCCCAAAGAAGGGGCTTGTGCGAATACCCGTACGCCGTCCATTTCGCAAGACTTTTGCATCAAGCAGAAACTAACGAGGTAAGGAGAACAGATGCAAATGGGAATTGCAACAGTACATATGCTTGCGCATCTCCACAAGGTCAACTCAGTTGTTGACGGGAAGGTGAAGTTCCACGCAATAGCATGAATTCCACCAAACACAGCCCCCCCAAGAGCTGTAATAACGTTGGCTAGGACGCTGCCGCTATAGCTCACGAATCTGGTAGAGTTAAAGCTAATCGGCGCACCAGGTAGAGGGTCCTTGGACGTTAGCACTCGCGTAGAATGCTGGATCCTTTCCAGCGCTGCAAGCACATCGTATGGAATAACTCCATCATAGGTAAGAATAGTAGTCGTAACACCAACACGCTGTGGCTTGTCCCAGTAGAGTCCGTATATCATGACTGCGCAGGCAGAAAAGGCCACGACGGCCACTTCGAGCGGCGAGACAGGAAGGTGTCTCGCAAGTCGCGCAATGATCTGGAAGGCCGACCAGAGAATCTGCCCAAGCGCGATCACTTTGACGAATACGTCGCCTTTCGATTTGTCCTCGATGTCTCCAGTCGCGATATCAGGCAGACGCTTGATATCTCCTCTCCTTCGGAGTTCACATATCCCTCTGCATTTGAGATGATATAGCTCATAAAAATATTCTTCTTCCGCAGGTGTCGCTCGTATGACAAAACCTCCCATGTTTGCGTAATAGCAATGGCTGAGGCTCCAAGCAACACCATCTTCCGCGGCCATGTCCTGCATTGCCTTGTAATCTTCGTGTGCTTCTAGCAGATCAAGATAGGCCATCAATATCATCAGTTCGGGAGCAATGATCGTCACAAGCATCCGCAACGTGCTTTGGTAAAGACGCTTAAACGCCCATTTAATGTACCCAGTCTTCCAGGGTCGCCAGTGCCGCGTTGCTTAGGGATGTTGGGATGTTGGAGGGTCCACGTGCAAGCGAGGATTGTAAAAAGTGAACCCCATAGTATGTCAAGAGTGCCACGAGCGTTGGGGGACGAGACAAAGTTTGCCGGGGTTCCGGGAGCAGAACAGTTAGTCTCGAAAACCGTGTAAGCCTTGACAAGCGGTATGAGGCAGAGGAGGAAATAGATGGACCGTCGTGGAGTTTTCATCCTGAATGGCATCTCATCAAGTTAAGGGGGGTCAAGAAATGGGCCTTGGTAGATAGCCGTTGCTGTCAGCTTCGTAAGAGACAAAGACGAGCCTCGACTCGAGGAAAAGCGGGAGAGGGAACGATGGCATCTCGGAGGCTGAAATAGCGGTTGGGCTGTCCAGCTTGATGCCTGAAGATAAGGTCATTGGAGTCTAGAAGCAACGGCCGTCAATATATGATGCACCTCTCATTGGATTGGCGACGAGGAAGCATATGTGGCGATGGTCTTATTGGCCCATCTGGCTATTTCGGTGAGGTTGCGGATAGACCATGATGCAAGGGAGACAAGTTGCCAAACTGTTGGTCCATGTTGAAGAGGTCGGAGCCATCACCATTCGCAACGGCTGTGGAGGTAGACAGGCATTGGGGAGGTGAAAAAGAGAAAGGAAGAAACAAGGAACGAAAAGAGCAGAGTAGTAAGTAGTTCATCAGTGGTTAGGAAGAAAAAGCAAAAAATTGAAGGCATCCTTTTTCAGGATTGGCGAGACTCTCCCGCCGGGAATTGAACCCGGGTCTCAAGCGTGACAAGCTTGCATACTGACCACTATACTACGGAAGATGATTGGCTGTGAGCAGCCAAGGTAGTAAGTTGGCGAGGACCATTCTATTTTAGTATATAAAGCACTAAACACGGCACCACCAACTTTGCTCCTGTTCAACGATGACACAAATGTGGTAAATCCGTGGGAGTGAGCTTGCCCTTCGAAGTATTTTTCGCCTTATATGTGCTTTTATGGAAACTACCGATCTGTGCCATGAGTGTGAAGCAGATTGTTTTGTCGGTGCATGACGATAGTCTCAAATTACATGCTACTAGTTGCTACACTTGCCCTTGAGCCTGTCGCTGCAATGGGGCATCTTGCAACACTTTGGGAACTTCAAGGTGTCAAGGTGTCAATATGACTCGAAATATATACTGACTCGAGTGAAAAGGGCAAACATAAATTGACTTTACTAGTATAGCTTATTCCATGACAGCTGAATCGCTCCATTTTACCAGCGTGAAAACGATGCTTGATTCTAGGGTATGTGATGCAAAACTTGCATTGTCAAAAGCAACGGTCAAAGCCCAACAGACGTACAAACAAACAACCACCGCTTTGGAATCAATCTTACGTCAAAGCATCCCAACTACTAATCAGAGCCCTTTCTGCAGACACACGCCGCTCGTGGCTTCCTTCACCTTTGTTCTCACCTTCGTCCTCATCTTGATCTGAACAAACCAAGACGCCCCCCCAACGGCTGTCAGACCCTGACTGCCGAACGAAAACCCACCGGATCTCCCGGCCAAGTGGGCCGTTGCAACGTCTTTCGACCCATTGTTCCGGTAACAAAGCAGCTCAAACGCACATACTTTGTACGCGTGCATGTATGTCGGTATATCTTGTACAGATTCTTACCGGCACAACTTCACACAATCCCCCATTCTCACGCACATGAAGTCATTAAGCCTCCCCCCCTAAAAACAACGCTGCAGCCATTGCCGCCGTCTTACCTCTTCCTACAGGCTGCCTCTGGCTGCTCCCTCTTTAGCCCAGAGGTCATGCAATGACGACAGCGGACGAAGATCTTGGCTATTCGGGATTAATCTCGCAATGCAGCCAGCCCTCCTCCACCTGTTAGGCTCAACACTAACAACAGAAATGCGACCCCCCGCCTACATAAAACATCCGAAGAGCTACCTTGCCTTACCCTCTCTGCCCTTGTCGGCACACTCATACCGAGAAACAAGCTTGCTGTAATACCTAATCAAGCATTTTTTCCAAAAGGAGGAAATGCTTCGAAAAAGAAATCTCCCAATTTTCCAACACAGCAATTGCTCGCCCAGCGCAAAACTTGCCCGTTTCTGCCAGCCAACGTCCCTCCCCTCCCCTTAAACGCTGCCTGAACCAGTTTGTCCCCGCCCCCCGCCAGTCACAGCCACAGCAGCCGCTCGTATCTGCGCACATCTCCTATTTTGCTTCCACGAGATTCTTCCTCCTGACGGCGTATACGAGCCAAACAGACGGTGTACCCAGGACGAGGGGGGGGAAAAAGAATCACGAAATCGTGCGCAAAGCCGAAGATGTCTTCTTGATGAAAATTGAGTCTTATTGCATGGTGATATGGCGAGGACAAAAGAAGGCTCTATATTTTCGATTTGCACGATGTAGAGATTACTATTCGCACGTCTGATATATAGGCGCCATCATGCACCAACTCAGCCTCGAAAGACCCTGTGACTTTTCTTTTAAATTCTCAGCTCAGCACCAATCCGGCAAATCCTTCTTCCTACAATCACGTCACATAACTCGTACATAAGACAGACCAAACACACAAAGCAGCCATAAATGCGAGAAAGGGCCAGGACGCCAACGAGACAGCGCATCCGCTCTTCGCCCATTCTCTCTCCCCTCTGCCGATCTGCACGACCACTCAGCCCTAGTAAAACATGGCAAGTGTCTTTTTTCTACTCCTCTCGTATGTTAGATGCCGCAGCAAGGCGTCATAGAGCCGTAACTTCTCGACTTCGTGCCAACCGACAGATCCGTGCTCTTCTCCCCTTGAGAAACCCACTACGGGGAGTTTAAGAAAAAAGGGGATTTCGATCGAAAAGTCCGTACGAGGCATGCAGGGAGCACGGGTAATAACAACGCATGAAGCTATACCGACGCTACACTGCATACCCATAGACGCATGGAGTAAAAAGATAGAAGAAGAAAAGCAGCGAAGGCCCCTCTCGTGTCCCACATCCCACCAGACAGCATCACCCACTCACTACTCGTACTCATTAGACACATTAGAAACAAGAAACAAAAGAGCAAAACTTCTGGATCGATTAACATACTACCTTGTGTAAACGTAATAATGATAGAAATAAGCAGAAGAGTGCCCGTATAGAGGGAAACCCGACAGAGAAGGGGGTTAAGCAAGCCAAGGGTCCATCCATCCTGATCACACGCCTCCTTCCATCCCTCCAACCAAAACGTGCAAGCAAGCCATTTCGTAGCTATTCACTACTTCTATACTGTGATTGCGTGCTGTAATAGGCCCGTTGAACAAAAAAAAAAAAAAACCGAAGGAGTCAACAAAGCTCGTGTTAAATGCCGATCCCACCGCCTCAAGTCGCCCACGGGATGGATGCTGAAAATAACATCACGTCTCCCCAATCCAGGGGACCAATACGAAGCAGTCCACATTACGTACGGTGTACTCCGTAACTCGTATAGAACTTGCTTTTTTTGTTTTTCGTGAGAGGAAAAAGTCCGTTTGCTCTCTCCGGACGTCAATTATATGAAGACGAATCTTCGCCCTCGGATCATCAGACACCTTCCCTTCTCATCACCAAGCACTCACAGCTACAACAACAACAACAACCACAACAACTTCAACTACTACCACCACTACTATCCAAACTCTTCTTCTTCAAGAACAAAACAACAACCACCAAAAACTTCAAGATGCTCTTCAACGCCGCCGCCTTCGCCTCCCTCCTGGCCGTCGCCAGCGCCCGCATCGTCGGCATCTCTGTCCCCGAGACCGTCGCCCCCGGCTCCACCGTCAAGGGCATCATCGTCACCGAGAACTACATCCAGTCCGTCTACGACGTGGCCGTCGCCTGGGGCTTCGCTCACGGCGAGGGATTCCCCGGCTCTCTGGGCTCGGTCATCGACTCGTCCTACCTCGGACCCAGTATGTCCCCCCCCCCCTGTACCCAATCCAAAACCCTCATATCGTATGAGATGGGAGAAAATGCTAACACAACACGATGGCAGACCTGTCCAACCAAGTCGGCAACATCACCCAATACATCACCATCCCCGCCTCCGCCGCAAAGGGCGACGCCGTCATCAGCGCCAGCGTCATGAGCCTCTACGGCGCCGCCTACAGCCCGACCCTGACCAACTTCAACGTCTCCGTCACTGTCGGCGACTTCACCTCCCCCACCTACAAGGCCAGCGCCTTGTAAAGAAAAGGCCACGAGAGCGGCTGGGTTGGATGGTTTTTTTTTTTTCCACCGGGCCTAGCCTGGTGGGATGTGAAATCCTGTATGCCCTCACTTTGATCGATAAAGCATTGCATCTTGGATGGCGCTGGGAATAGACGGACTTGAGCTTTTTGTTTCGCGAAATGTTGATGTTAATGCTGCTGATGGCGAGTTTTTATTTGGTATTAGTTTTGGGCTTTAGACTTTTAGGTAGCACACAGAAATGATATGAGTCGGGAAACCGGCGAGTTGACATTTGACAACTGTCGATGAAGTCGCGAATAGTGTTGTAAGAGCCATGCTCCCAGCTGAAGCTCACAAACTTAAAAAGCCGAGCTTAATTCACACCTTCCTGAACCAGCTTAAGCATCTACCTACTAGTAAGGTAGGTACAATAACCATATCGAGTACCCTGGCACGGAGCATCTTTGATCTCAAATTCACACAACCCACCCGTCTTCAATATCTATTTTGGACCCGAGTTCCAAGCCAGTAAATCTAATATATTCATACCAGCTCGTAACTCCATCTAAATGCTCACATGCTGTGCTAATTCGCTCTATAAGGGTATCAACGCTTCTTCGCACACAAATCCCTCTCCATCCGCATCACTTCCCGTTGGGCCCCTTGACCCGGACGCCGTTGGCGCTCCCCCAGACACTATCCGTCACCTTGGCCGGCACCTTTCTCCCCTTGAGCCGCTGGTCGACGAGCCACGTTCCCACCACAAACTCGGCCCTGCTCAGCATGCCCGTCCTGCTTCGGTCCACCAGGTCGTAGATCTCGGCCAGTTCGTCGTCGGGCAGCCTCGACCGCTTCCACACCTCCCTCACCACGACGTTGGCCACGCACTGCGAGACGTCTCGGTCGAGGTCGCTGCTGATGCTCGTAGCCGGGCTCATCACCCGCGTGTCGGTGAGTAATATGCCGCGGTTGGACGCCCACAGCGCCTCGTACCGCTTCCTCTCCCGTGGCCGAATCTCCTCGCGCCACTTCTTCCTTGATCCTTCGTGGTGTGCATGCTTCCCCTTGCGTAGTAGCGCCCTGTGTCCCTTCTTGTGGTGGTGGTGATCTTCCTCTTCTTCAGGCAAGTTATGCGGCTGTCGGAGCGTCTGCAAAAGTCGAGGCGACTTCTGTCGTTTCGGCAAGGGAGGGGGAGCCAGCGAGCTAGGCCCCGTATTATGAGGCGTCAGTCGGGTAGAGGCCAGTGACCCGGCCACAATCGCATCAGTGAGATTGTCCAGCTGTGTGTGTCGGTTCGGCGAACCGTTGGCAAGGCGCCGCTGAGAAATTAGCTCCCTCGACGGAGACAATGACGGGACGCTCATCGTCGAGTGCCTCCTAGCTAGGGCCATCGAAGACAGGCGAGGCTCTTCATGTTGGTAAAAAGGAGGCGTCGACTGTCCGGCTGGCCGAGACGCTGCGGAAGCTCCAGAGCTCCGCGTCTGGCCGGACGACGACCCATCAGTATGATTACTACTATGCGACCGGCCTCGAAGCCCAGACTTGTCCTGATCGTGACCTTGGTCTTTATCTAATGAATTCTTTCCGCTGCCCCGAGGCTTCGGCGGCGTCGGCGGTCGCTTCGTCGCAGAATCCTGGCTCTTCTTGGGAGGATCGGGAGAAGGCGGCGCGAGCGCAGCGTTGATGCCCGGGCTCAGCGCAAGGTGAGGAGACGTGACGGGACTCAGCGGCGATCTCGCGACCCGCCTCGGCTGGGGAGAAACGACCTCGGCGACATGCCTGCTCATAAGAGGCTTGAGCGGCGGAGGTGTCGATGGATGCAGCGCCGTCGTGGTCTGCGAGCTCCTGGGAGCAGCAGGACGTGGATCTGACGACGAAGCTGGTGTTGATGGCTGGACAGCTGGGGCAGAGGTTGGCGTCATGGGTCGTGGAGGTGATGATGGCAGCCGGGGAGAAGAGACTGCCGTGATGTGCTCTTTCAAACTCGTCGGACGCTGATGATGCAGCTGCTGGAACGGCGGTGGTTGTCTGTGCGAGGTGAGGGATGGCATTGGATAAGCCGAGATGTCCGAATACTCCGCCGCCGGTGCCGTAGTTGCAGGATTGGGCCTTTGCTTGGGCCTTCCGTCACCAGCTGGAGCTCTGCTCCCATCCTCGGGCCCTGCGTCAGCCACCGGGTCTCGGCGTGTCGTGGTCCTTGCAGCCGGTGGCGTCGGCGGCGCCTCTCCCTTGCCCGGCATCCTGCCCTTCGTTGTCGTGGTGGTGGTTGTCGTCGTCGTCGCCTTGGTCCTCGTCTTGTCCACCTTTTCCTCTGCACTGCTCGCGACGGACTCGGGCGGCGACGGCCTCCCCCTAGCCCTCTCAAACATGGAAATCAGCGACCCCGTCGACGCCAGGGGACCCGCGTCCACGACATCATCAAGGCCGCCCGACGTATTCGCGCTCCCGCCGCTGCTCGCCAGACCGTCCGCCCTCGCCGCCCTGCCCGCCGTCGGACTGGCGCTGCGACTGGCGGCCAGCGTCGCCGCGATCAAGCTCTGGCTCTGCTTCTTGGCAGGCATCCTCTCGCCAGCCCCAGACCCAGACCCAGACGACGACGCCGCCGCCGCCGACGACAGCAAATGCGACGTCGTGGCGCCACCCCCGCCCGCCATCCCGCCGCCCATGGCCTGCAGCTGCTGCTGTAGCTGCACCATCTTCCCATCTGTGACTGCTCTCCTCTCAGCCCTCCCGCGAACCGCCTCCGTCGCAGCCGTAAACGCCCCGTTGTCCATCGCCCTCCTCCCGGCGGCCCCCTCGGCCCGCTGCTGCTCGACGTCGACCCTGTCCCTGCGAAAGGCCAGCGTGGCGCCCCTGAGCGCAGCAGCCGTGGCGGCGCTGTCGGACTTCATTTCATCACCGAGATGGTGCGGCGCGCAACGACATTTATGTCGGGGAGTCCAAGGAGAGAGGTGGTATTATCTGTGTGTGGAAAAGGAAAAAAAAGAGGAGGGAATTTCTAGGTAGGTTCTCCTTTCTTTCTCGCCGTCGTCTCTCGTATGTATAATGCAATCGTTCTCTTTTCTACTCGACTCGTATCGTATCGCTATCGTCTTCGACGCGGCACCCGGAGATTCTCGTAGGTCTAGTTGGTGGGAACAAAAGTCAAGTCGATCATTAGGTGAACAGGTATCGTGCGAACAAGAGGTAATATGAGGTAAACGAGAAAACGAAAACGGCAGAGTGATCAAATAAACAGGAGTCGAGACGAAACACCACCCCGTAAGAAAAGAAAAGCGCCCCAGGTACGAGGAAAGAGACCCTCTCCAAAAGCGAATACGTGGAAGGATCCCGGACAGCTCAACAGAAAAAAAATAAAGGTTCAATCAGTGTCAGCCTTAGCACCTCGGCAGCTACGGTACGGTACTTCGTGCTCAAGAACCCTCAAGTCCCGGACAGGGGCCCCTCCATCTCTTCCCGGAATAGCTTCTGCATCACCGTCGCATCTCGTGGATTCTTCGTCAACGCGGGCGGATTTCCGGTCCCCAGCTGCCGGAGGCCCCGACTCTGTACGGCGTACTGATACATTCCAGGTTCTGTGTGCCCTCTTTGATGCTGGGCCGAGTGTGACCCTGCAGATGCGCTAAAGACGGCCCACGCGATCAGTGCACGCATCCACTATAGAAGGCACCTGCAGCGGACACGCATGTGCTGGAACGACCTGCTACAACGGGCCATTGTCCGCGAGCATCAGCTGCCCGGGGATCTGTCAAGTCTCATGCTGCTTCCACGTTGCTTATCAGATAAGCCATTAGCAGACGACATGTACGGATCCGATCAAATTCAACAAAGGACTGCCTTGCTACCTTGGACACTCGAGTTTTCACAAACCGGCGAATCGTTTTCATCCCGCAAATAGATACCGGAGATCCAGGAAGGAAGGGAAGAAGAAGAGGAGGAAGAAAAAGACGACAGCGACCTCCCTCAGCCAGCAAAACCAAAAGCCCTCCAATGCCACATGTACCTTGAACAAACACAAGCAAGCAAACAGACACACGCAAACGCCAGTCCCTCCCTGGTTGCACCCTTGCCATCCCATTTGATGCCCGTCCCCTATTAAAGCCCTTCCCATACCGCCAGTCCGTGATGTTGAACGAATAACCAACAGAGGAAACAACAACAAAAGAAAATCAAGGAGGAGCATTCCACCACTAAAAGCCCCAATGCACAACACATATATGACACAAAGAGAAACCAAAGCAAAGAGATTGTAGCTGAAATGACTGGAAGCAGCAGCACATTGCGCCATTGTCTGTCCGCAGAACCAGACAAAAGGCGGCTCAACGCTCTTCGTGGATGACCCGCATCCTCATGCGCTCTTCGTTCGTCTCGCCGTCGAAGGAAGTCGTTACATGGACACATATCTCGTGTTCGCCATATTTTTTTTTTCGCCATAAAACGTGGAAGCACACCCACTGCGAGCGTCCTCAGGGGAAAACAAACAGAACGACCGAGGCAGCTTATAAGCTATCTTCGTCTGCCCATTCGCTTCCCGATGCGATGCGGTTTCCGTCCTGATCAATCATGACGGGCGCCCCGTACGACGCAGGAACACCGCGAGTGCGCTTTGCCGTACTGCTAGTAGGCCGATGGCCCTGTTCGGGCTCCCCTCGCTTGCCCCGGGCGGCTCGGAGCTTGGCAAAGTATGCACCCGACACGTCCAGCTCTGGCTCGCTGTTGTCGTCGTACGTCTCCCAGTTCTCGGAGCCGGTAACGACCGTGGATGTGGTGGATGCGCTGGACATGTGTCTTTCTCGCAGAGCCTGGGGATACCGCGGCACCCCTCGCACGGACGAGTAGTGGTCGTCGTACTCCTCTTCCAAGTAGCCGTTCTGCCGATGATGCGACATGTTACTCCCCGTCTGCGACCGGTCATCGTAGACATCCTCAGGGTCGACCGCGCGGACGATGCTTGAGTTCAGGCCCATCGATTTGTACGTGTTCAATGGCGCCTCCAGCGAGGCCACTGATCTCAGGTCTCGCATCTTGGGCGGCGGGGGAATTCGCACAGAGCCTCCAGTGCGCAGGGCGTCCATCTTGCGCTGAAGTTGCGCCTTGGGCCGCTCTGGCGAATTGTTGCCGTCTTTCATCTTGGACAGAGGAGCCCTTGCCATGGGCTGTTTGCTTGGGCTGCCGCCACGACCCGTATCCATGACGGACTGTGACAGTAATGGCTGAGATTTGTTGCCCATGGAATACATGCCATTTGCCGAAGGAGTCTTTGTGACGGAACGCGGGGGCTTGCTGGCAGTGGTGGGCCTCATCGCCGAGGATGACACCGACTTCATCAGGCTCTTGGCAGATGAGGGAGGAGGACCGGCTGGCGTCCTGGATCGCTGGGGAGGCTGCTTTGCATCCACAGAGTCCACCTCGTCGAGATATCGCTCGCCGTACACCAGGAAAGGTCGGTCGTACTCTTCCTCCCACTGCTCGAGTGCCTTTCGCACTTCGGCCGTCACTCTGGGGAGCTCCTTGGCAATGCGCTTGCGCATCTTCTCCTCGCGAAGCAACTTTCCAGGATCCCGCTTTTCGCCCTTCTGGCCACGCAGCATAAGGCGGGATGCATCTTGGCTTGCGGCGATGAGTTCGTCTCGGTCCTTCATCAAGGCCTTGTGCTTGTCGACCAGGTTGAGAATTGGCGCGCGTTGCTCCTTCAACGCCTCCAGGCGAGCAACCTCGCGCTCATGAGCCTCAAGCAGCGCATCCGTGTGAACGTCAGAGAAGGCGGGCGTGAACTCGAGCATCTCGTCCTCGGAAAAGTACAAGGCGTCCCAGAGCTCCTGAAGTCTGACGCGCGCGTCGTCGATGAAGATGTGGAGATTCTGGCGCTTGACTTCGTTTAATCGTTCCAATTCGTCCTCGAACTCGTTGATCTGTCGAATACCACAGCCTCTGTTGGCGTTCAAGAAAGCCTTGGTCTCCTCTTCATCGATGCCCAGCTTCTCCCACAGCGATTCGACGCTGGCTTTGAGCTGCTTTAGTTTCTCTTCGCGGCTCTTCTTTTCCTCGGACAGCTTGTCGTGCTTGGCTTGCAAACTCCGAATGTCTTCTTGGTGGAGGCCAAGCTGCTCAGGGGACTCCCGGTAGTACTTAATAATGGCCGTGTCCTGCTGGGCTTGGGGAGTGCCGAGTTCGGCCCAGAGCTGGATAATTTCGTCGCCCAGTGTTTCCACCACGGAGAGCCGGCGATTGTACTCTTCATACACTCGCGTAAACTCCGCGTCGAGGCGGTCCACGTAGGATGGCGAAAGGTCAAATGTGAGGGGGACGGTCTCATTGGGTCCAGTGGGCGGGAGGGCGATTTTGACAAATTCGGGCTCTAGGTGTGACGAGTAAGACTCGAGGGCCTCGGCGAGCTCTGGAGCAAGGCGTCAGTAAGAATTCAATCCCCCTTGGTTCAAATCGAGCATCGACTCACTCTGCACTTGCACAACCCGTTCGCTGTGCACCCTCTGTACCTCGTCATGCTTCTTTTTGAGGGTCTGCAAGCACTGCATCAAAGGGTACGAAACCTTCATGCTCCCCTCGTTCGAATTCTTTCTTCGCTGCTTGGAGTCACTCATCGATAACTCCATCTGCCGAGTTGCTGTGGCAATCTTCTTGGCCTCGTCAATCAATCCCTTCTTCTCCGACGACACCAGACGCAGGTGATTGTTGAGCGCTTCCGACAGAGCTTGGAACAGCTGCACCACCCATCCACGTCAGCATCGCACTTCTCCGCCGGTGAAGGAGGGGGAAATCCATCGTACCTCAGACTCTCGAGCCTCGCGCTCATCATCCGGGACGCCAATGTCGTCGAAAAGGCTGTGCAGCTGGCTGATGCTGTGGTTGACCTGCTTGGAGAGGTAGCTGGTGTCCATGGCGAACAGATTCAGCCACCCCTAGGCGACTTTGATGCGCTGCTGAAATCTGCAGAACCTCACGTAATGCTGCCTGAGAAGCTCTCAAGCCCTGTTGACCAGGAGTGTCGAGAAGGGGGTGCGTTTGGCAGCGGTGGGACAAGATCGTTGAGTGATAAGGGCCAGATGCGCGGGGTTCTCCTGTGACGGCGCAGGGGGGGGGTATGGTGATTGGGCCGCGGCTCTCTTGTGTCCCTGACTGAAGAGCTAGGGTAGTGGAAATCAATGATGTCTACCGATGAAGAAGAAGAATGAGAGGTCACGCTGGTGAGGTGGCTTGATTCGTTAGAGCGCCGGGCAGCAATCGATACAGATATCCGGATTGTCGATAGCAGCAGAGAGTAAACAATAATCCATCAAGCTTCTTCAGCCAACGACGCACAGGCGCAAAAGACGAAGAAATGAAGAAAAACGAGGGTCGGCGCTGCTCAAAAGCTCGCCGCAGTCTGGATTTGCGCTCAGGCACAAATTGTGAGAAAGGAGAATGAGAAGAAGGAGAAGTGACGGAATGGCGAAGAAAAGACATGCAGCGCCGTGAGACAGCCTTTTTGCATGAAGAAAAACAGCCCAAGACAAGGCTCAATGCCATCCGCATCCCCACTGTTGGAGCCGATTCCGCGTTGCCATGGCGACTGCGAGTTGCCGTTTTGAGGCGCCCTGCCGCCAGCTGGGCGGCAGCGGCTTGAAAGTGGCTGTTTCAGACACCCCGCCATTGAAGTACGATGATGGCATTGGGGATCGTATTGGATCAAGTGTTACAGATGTGGGAAGAGGGTGTTGATTTTCGGAGGGACTACTTGTTCGACATCCAAGAAAGCTAACAAGTTCCTGCTTCCTGCTTCCTACAGAGACAAGAGAACCTTGACGAGAACGCACAGAAGCCGTAGCCCCAAACCGATGGGAATTCATCAGCGAACAAGCAAACAAACTCCTCGGCCAACCCCTCCGGCTTCTCCCCCCAAACCCTCGTCAACACACACGAAACCACTGTTTACAAGACCCCTTCTGCAAAACACACACAACTCGTAAGGATCTCACTAGCTCCGCGTGCTGCCGCATTAGACTCATGCAAAACATCTCGACACCACTTCTTTTGTTTACATGCATGCGGACAATTTTACTGGGCACGGCCACGCTTCAGACATGGGGACTTCGCCTGGGGCAAGACAAGGAAAAGGGCCCATGCTCAAGCGGGGGGGAGATGCCATGCCATGCCGTCTCCAACAACACAAGCTCATTGTCGATTCCGAGCATCTGTAGCGAGATCCCGTTGCCCATCGGATGTGGATCGGGTGCGACTGTGTTACCGGGGCCCTTTGACGTGCTTGTGGATATATTCGTGGGGATGGAGCTGTGCATGTAAACATGCGTTATTACCTACTACTAGTACCTAGTATCCTTGGCTCTACTCCGTAACCCACGAAAATATCTTGTTGGTCTGACCACTGCAGCTCTTAGCGCCCATCTTACCATCCGCGCTTCTACAAAATCGTGTCATCACAGCAATTCCGACGGGTAAACAATACGAAAACTGCATTGGGACCTGAGCTGATCATCTGGTGTGAAACAAAGAAAAACAAAATGAAAACAGAAAAAGGAGAGAAAAACCAAAGAGGAAAAAAAAGAAAAGACTGCTTCTCCGATACTGGGAATCGAACCCAGGGCTGCTCGGATCTTAATGAGAGCGAGCGATGTTAGCCACTACACCATATCGGATTACTTGTTGGAGGAACGAGTGCAATTAGTATCTGTAAGCTGCGTCCCCGGCGCATTGGATGAGGAGAAGAAGCAAGCCAATGTCATTCATCAGCAAAGGATCCAAATCATGGAGTGGGAGGCCTCATGTTTGATGAGTACTTCCAAGACCCTTCAAAAGGCTCTCACTGCAATTCATTTTGACTTTGCCTCCGCTTTCAAGCCGAGGAATAGGTGTCCGAAGGGCAAGGCCTCATTGGGCATTACAGCTGAGCATCCAGCATCTTACTCGGCTAAATCGTTTGCATTTGCAACCTGGATGCTAACGGATCTCTGCATCAAGCGCAAAACGTACGATAGAAGCCACCTGCATCACACCATTGGGCTCAAGGCCATGTACTTCAGCTCGTCATTACAAGGACTCTACGGCAATCTGACGGGTATAGCCGCAAATGGATAGCAATGCTCGCACAAGAGGCCGATCGCCCGAGCGACGGGCCGGCGCTATTGGCGACGAAGCGACTCAAGCTAAACTCCGCCAGGGACCTTTGCTTTGTATGTCCTGTCCTATGTACGTAGGTATCTGTAAAGCGACTACTATTAACCCAACCAAAACGACCGCCAGAGGTATCTTATCCGCATTTGCGCCCATCCCAGGATAAATAAAAAACGTCGCGATGCCCTCATATCGCATCACTGGACCCAGACCACGACCGCATCGCCATGTCATCCGCACCGTCGTCCGGGACAGGATCGCCCATGTCCATGATCCCGTACATATCCCACGATAGAAAGTTTTGCAGATCATCCAGATCCAGCGCCTCACACATCGGCTGAATCGGGCCGCCCCATTGGTTGACGGGGGGCGGTTGCGGGAGGGCCGTGGGCACGGGCTGTTCGTGCTGAAGGCCAGATCGCGACGAGGCCAAGCCATCTTGACTCAGGCCAACCAGCTGCTGTGCTGCGTTGTTGCGATCCCATGCGCCGGCGCCCGGGCTTTCGGCAGACCAGCTTAGCCCGCGGACGCCGCTCGCCCGATCAGCGGCCCGCCTCGTTGCGATGCCTGTCCGCGCGAGCGAGTGAAGGGAAATCGACGGAAGCACGAAGTCTGGCGTGCCCTGGACGGGACTAACAGACGGAGGATTAGATCTTGGAGGAGTGGTTAGCTAGAGGTGTCCATGGTGCAAAGGAACAATAATCCGAAATATACTTACTGTTCGACATCATTGGTTTCAGACCGGGCTTCAGAGAGCACCCTGCTCAAGACATCATCTCGATTTGAGGTTTGCCGGATCTTGGTAAGCCATCTATCAATCGTATTGGACTAATATGGCGACAACCGTTAGCATGGGTGATGGCGTCAGCGAACCTTATGCGGGGGGGACCTACGAGGGATTGCGCGATCGGGAACAGGGCCGACATCATCCGGAGGACCCGGCGATTGCTCTCTACAGCGTTGATGGCATCATCCAGCTTTGACAGGGCATCCGGTCTGTTTGGGTCGAGCAAACGCGCTACATAGTACAGCATTACTCTGCTGCTGTCGTAGACGAAATAGGGGAGTAAGCTGTCCGATAGCAGATGGGCTCCATGGTCGGCCGCCTCGGCCAGGATATCGGCTATCTGCTGGGCATGATGATAGCAGTTGGCCTGTGCGGACTGAAGAAAGTCGTGGTGCTCCGGCGGGACGGATAGAGGCTTCGGAAGCTTGAACAGATCTGGCATGGATAGCTTGTAGAGCTCCAGGTAGTTGTGGTGATAGGTGCAGTGTATCAAGACCAATGCCCCCAGTTGATTGGAGTCCAGTCGCGCGTAAATGGTTTCCATGGAGTATTCGACGAATTCCGGGAGTTCTCTCTGCCACAGACGGAGATCGGCGTCGAGAGCAGCAAACGGCGAATCTGGTAGCCAGGGGGGCGGGCTGGAATCTAACTGATTAACATATCTGCGGAGGCGGTTAGAGCGAGCAACAGACAAATTGGCGGCTTGTTTGCAGAAGATCAAACCCGTACCTCACAATCCGCTTCCAGAGGGCCACCACTCGAATGTAGTATGCCATGATACCCATGTTCGCCGATGGCTTTCTGGGCACCACGGAGGGCGGTAAGAACTGCAAGACATGGCCCACGCCGAGGGTTTCCGTTACTGATGCTATCCGCAGGCCAAAGTTCCTCTCGTTGCAGGGCAGCTGAATCTTGATGTCATTCTCACGCAAGAGAGTCAACTGATCGATGCCACTGCCAGCCCACGCATCGAGGACATAACACGCCCACATGAGCCTCCGGCGACTCTCCCGGGTGACGACGGACGGGGCAGACTCGTTGGATTCGGTGCAGAGGATATCGGGCGATGCTTCGACATTGATCTTGAGCGCATGAGCCATGCGAACAGCGAGGCCGCTGAGCATCAAAGCGCGAGAATACTCCCCTAGCCGGAAGTAGAAGTCATGAAGTAGTATAGCAACCTTGGAGATGGTGAGTGGCTGCCACTATTGCCGAGAGCGTATGGCGGTCTGGAGCGGCTTACCATGAGTCTTTGAACGGAGATCTTGCCAAAGTTGGTCAGGATGAGCAGCTCGGCCCTCTTGGCCCACTCATTGCCGGCGAGGCGGATGAATCCAGACGCAGGAGTGTGCTCGTTCTGATTCAGAACGTAAAATCTACACCGGCGTGTTAGTACAGCACTGAATAGGGTTGTTCAGGAATTCTTGTGCGGTAGTCACTGACTTGGCTCCGTGAGCACAGATAATGTGCAGCAGCGCCGACTCATCATCGGTGGTAAAGCCCTTGTCAAGCTGCCGCATAAAGGAGGGCTTGTGGACAAAGGCGAAGCACCGGATGGGATGGACATTGGCGAAGTACTGCTCCACGACGCGGCGCAGGTTGCGGCCGGTGGGAAGACTTGGCGAGACGAGCCTGGAAAGAGATGTCGTGTGAGCAGGAGGACTGAGGTATCAAATCATGCCATGCCATGCCAGGCCAGGCTTGAACCATGGTTGATCATTCACACCGTCAGCAAGACAAACACATACCACGACAGAATATCCGAGCCCGACGGCTCGATGGACGCAACGCTGCGGGTGCTGCCGAAGCCCTTTGGCCCCGGCGTGTCGTCTGTCGTCTGCGAGCCAAGGCTGGTCAGCGGCGTGTCGAGCTGCTGCTGCTTCTGGCGGACATGTTCGTCGACGTCGTCGCCGGCCTCGAGCACGGCCATGGCCAGCTCGCGCGACTTGCTGCGGCCGCTGCTGTCGGTCGACGCCGTCCTGGAGGTGCGGTCGAGGTTGCGCGCCCACCGCGGGGCCGATCCGCCGTCGTAGACGCACTCGGTCTTCTTGGCGGTGCATCGCGAGCACTTCGGACGGTCGCCGTTGCACTTGGTCTTGGATAGGCGGCAGCTCTTACACGAGCGATAGGTGCGGATCTTGCGCAGGGCCACGGGCGTGGCGCGGCCGGCGGCCTGGCCGTTGTCGCCCACGCAGTCGAGCTGGAGGCGCTCGCAGTTGCGGCATCCGTTTGGCCTGCCGTCGCATTTGACCTGTTGGGCGAAGAGCCGAGAGGTTTGGAGGTTAGCATAAGGACATCTCGTAGTGAGTGAGGAGAGATTTCAAGGGGGGAGAAGGTAGAACTGCAGTAGCGCCGAGCAGTGGTTCGTGATAGCGCTGCTGGGGCCCTGGACGGAGAAAACTCACCTTTCGCGCTCTGCACACCCGACAGCCCATTGTGTGCGAATGCCCCCTCGAAAATGGAATGTGAAGAAGCGAGCATCAATGCCAGATGAAGGTCCAGGATCCAGGAGATGAAGAAGCAAAGCGAGCTGCGAGAAGAGCAGCAGCATCTTGCGGCGACCAGCCGGAGCCAGACTCTGGCCCATGGGCCTGCCCGAGGGACCGACAGGCGCTAGTGCCGGTGACGTGCTCGGGCGCCTCCAAGACGTTTTCCGCCCATGACCCAATTGCGCGATCGCCCGGCTGTCGTATGCATCGGATTATTACGCAGGCGGACAATTGCGTCTTGACGGACGTGAGGTCGCGTCATGTCGAGCCCGAACTGAAGCTGTGAAGATGCCTCAATCAAAGTGACGTTGAGCGGGTGCCCGAGGTGTCCATCGAGTGCTTTGGCCGCTGTATATCTGGTGGCCCCTCGGTGAGCCTTCGCTATGTCAATGCAAGGCATCGCCAGGCATCGACTTCTTTTCACCGGTGTTCCGGCGACTTTTCTGGCTTCAGAAGTACCGCCCGACACGGCTTGCGCCATGTCCCCCGAATCAGTCGCCAGCCATCAAAACGCGTCACCCTCTCTTCAAATGGCGACAGCTGCCGGTCTTCAGCGTGTAAATCAGCACTCGGCGTGTTTCCATTACTCACTGCTACCACCGTCTGCTGGCTGGTGTGGTTGATTCATGTTGATGCCATAACGGCATATGATTGCCCATTTGACTGAAATGTGTCCCTGTAACCTGTTGATCTACCTAAACGTCTATACAGAGACACTCGGGCATTGCGAGGTAGTGTAAATCCATTCCAGCCCCCAGCTTCTTCCTCGTGGCCGTGTAAGATACGCTCAAAGGCTGCCATTGATTGATATTTCCGATGCCACATTGTGAACAAGGCCGAGTCTTTTCTCCTCCATCCACCCCGAAATTCCAGCGAATGGCCTCTCACTTACAAACCCTAATCGGCAACCCTGAGCTCTTAGCACCGTGACACTTGTGCCACCTCGCAGAACACATCTCAACTGCCGAGTGTGCTTCGGAGCCCTGTATGTAACATTGAAAGTTCCCGGGGCAATGTCTGAGGATTACGAACAATTATCTGATGCCTTGATGACCATGTTGTCTAAAAGGGTCCCTCTACCTAGGTGAATAGTACTAAGAGATGCCGCCAGATAATCAGTTCATACTCAGGCCAGCCAAGTTGAAGCTCTATTCTATGACCGAGTAGGTGGTGTCTTTAAAGCTTGTGAAATTGAAAGCTGATCAGTAATCCAAGGAAAGATAGCCAAGTAAGAAGTAGGTAAGAAGATGCTGAGCGATTCCTGAAAATCTTCTCCACCACATCAATTGAAAGAAGAAAAGGGAGAATTTCAGACGGTTTGTCTTGTATACAGCCATGAGGAAACTCAACTGAACGAGGTCGGTGAAAATACTGCTCCGGCGAAACTACGCCGACAGCCCGCGAGCCAGTCCGGAGCCTCGGCGGAAAAGTGCTCGCATTTTCGGTGCCGTCGGCCGATGGTCCGCCAATTGCCAAGATCCCATTGTCACACCAACAACCAGCCAAGAAGAAGAAAAAAAACCACGGGGCCTTTGGACATCATTTACAGAGAGGGCCAGCTTAAGTGCTTTTAAATGACAAGATGTTAAGGGTATATCACATGGGAGGTATTCGCTTGCAGCCGGCAAAACCCACGCGGCGGCCGAAGCTCCAGTCCATTCAATCATACCGACATCCGAAAGAATGCAACGAAGACGTACGCAGAACGAAATATATGCAGTTACTATATAAAGAACCAACGCCTAGCCTAGTTTAGGAGGCTGCCCATTTTGACTATTCTCACATTACATGAACCTTTCTCTCGTCTTTATTTCCCCATCGTCTACTCCTCCATCTCCTCGTCCTCTGCCACCGCAGCCGCAGCCTTGGCCTCCTTTCTCGACTTGAACCCAGCTGCCCACTCCTGGGCCTTGGCCATGACCTTGTCCTTACCCTTGGGATCCAGCTTCTCCTCCCAAGCGGCCCATCTGCGGAACCACTTCTCCGCCTGCTGCGGCTTCAAGCCCTTGACCCTCGTCCTCCTCTCAAACACGTCTCGCACAGCAGTGTAATCAGCGCTAGAGCTAGCAATGCCAATCTCCAGGTCGAGCAGCTGGTTCCAGAGATCGCCCTTCTTCGGCCAAGCCGCCAGGAGACCCTCAAACATGGTCCGGCCGCGCTCAGGCTCGCCGTTGGGTGATCGGAACTCGAGAGCGGCGAACCGGCTGACAATGTTCTGGCCGTTGTGGCTGTCCAGCTGCTGGGTCGCCCTCGGCAGCAGGGCTCGGGCACGGGCGGGCTCGTTCTTGGTGACGTGCAAAAAGTGTGCGTAGTTGGTCCAGACGCTGGGCGACTTGGCGCCAAACTTCTTCAACATGGCCTCGAACAGCTCATCCGCTTCCTGTTGCGACGTATTAGCATATGACGATGCGAGTACATGTGGAGCAATGCTTCTTCTTCTTACCTTGAGCTTCTCTGACTGGATGTAGATGCTGGCCAGCCGCTCGTACACCTCTTGCTCATCATTGTACTGGCAAGCTCGCTTGAAGACCTCTTCAACAGTTTGCTTGCTGCCGTAGGCCACCTCCAAGTTGAGATACGCGACCCACACGTTGAGCTTCTCCGTCTCTTCCCGGATGTTGATGCTCTTGATGGCTCGCTCGGCAATTTCTCGCGCCTTGGGCAGCTCGCTGACCTGCATCTGGAATGCCATGTATGCGATCCACAGCTCTGAAGAGTCTGGCTGACCCAGGAGCAGTCGCTCGTAGTCGCTCGACGTTTGAGGACCGTGGGCATCTAGCTCAGCTGTCCGGTCGACCTGAGCCTCACCCTTCTTCTTCCGCTTCTTCTTCTTGTCGGCTTGCTCAGCCTGAGAATCGTCTTCTGACTCGGAGCCCGATTCGTCAAACGGATTCGTCGACCACGCCGACTTTTTACCTACACTGAGACCACCTGTCTTCTTGGCGGCGCTGTCCTCCATCTCCTCATCGCTATCGTCCTCTGCCTCCTCACCCTCCTGTTCTTCTTCGTCGTCGTCATCCTCCTCCTCTTCATCTTCGGAAGAGTCGCCCTGGTTGTCGGTGCCGAGGATCTTTATCAAGGCCTCCTCATCCAGGTCCATACCTTCGCCGTCATCATCCTCATCCTCGCCATCCAGTAGAGCGCCGGCCTCAGATCCAGAGTCCATGTCGGTATCCTCATCTTCGAAGAAGGATGGCTTCAAGCCAAAGCTGATTCTCCTCTTCGTGGCATCCACCTCCAAGACTCTAGCCTTCACCTTATCGCCTTCCTTGTACAGCTTGGTGGCATCCTTCACCTGGTTGTCAGCCATCTGGCTTCGGTGGCATAGGCCGCTCACATTAGCTGAATTGTCAACCAGGATGAAAGCACCAAACTCCTCCACCTTGCGGACGACGCCAGTAACAATCTGACCTTCCTTGATGTCATTGTAACCTAGAGGAGGGGTGTAGTCCTCATCAACAACGGAAGACTTCAGACTGAGCTCAAGCTGATTTGTTGCAGCGTCAAGAGCAATGACACGGCCTTTGACCAGCTGATCAATCTGGAAGCTGTCTTTCCACTCCTTCAAGAATCGATCGGAGAGGTTTGAAATCTTCACAAAGGCAGTCACCTGGCCTCCCAACAGGACAAACAGGCCCTTGTCGGCGACGTTCTTGACGAATCCTCGCACAATGTCGCCAGTGGCGAGCTGTGTGATTTTGGTGATTTCCTTGTCTACAACAGGCGAGGTAGAGCTCATGATTCGTGACGGTCGCATGGAAAGACGGATCCTCTTGTTACTGGCGTCGACGTCAACAATCGAGACACGAACAATATCGCCCTTTTTGTATTTCGACGTGTCGACGGTGCTATAGTCATCCACCATGTCGGGAAGATGGACGGGGCCAGAGACGGATTCACTGAGCTTCACGAGAACCTGTCGCTCATTGACCTTGGTGATCTTGCCCGGGAGGGTCATGTTCTGTTTCAGCGAGGTCCAGGTAATGGCTTCGGAAGCATTGGCTGATCGAGCTGACAGATCAAGACGGTTGTTTTGAGCGTCAACCGCCGTCACCCTGGCTTTGAGGGCTGAGCCGACGGGGAAGTTGGCTTCCAGGTCGTTCAGCAGAGAGAGGTCATCGGAGGCGTCCATGATAGAGATGCGACCGCGGACGTTGGGAGAAAGATTGACCCAAAGATACTGTGACGTAACGTTGTTGACAAAGGCAATATGAGTATCACCAACTTTCAGCTCTTCGAGAGAGATTGGCTTGGGGGCATCGCTGCTCAAATCACTGGGCTTACAGGTGAGTTCCAGGACTGAGTGAGCGGATCGGTGGGAAAACGGCAAAAAGCGGTGGTCTTTGGCGTCGTGGACGCCAAGAACCTTGACGCGAAGGACCTGCTTCTTGTTGAACTTGTCGAGAGGATCCTTGGGATCAGGAATGTCTTCCCACTTGTCGTAGATTTGAGACACATCGATGCGACCCTGGATATCGCTATCCACGAGCTGGACGTTCAGCTGAGTGTCTTTGATGGATGTGATCTTCGCCTGAGCTGTGCTGCCAACTTTGAGGCCGTCTTCGGGCGCTGAAGCCTTGGTGGAAGACTTGCTCTTCTTGTTCTCGGGCTCAGCCACGGGTGCGTCGGCGGGTGCAACCAAAATACGCTTCATTTCGGGGATAGTCGAGATGATTCGCACTTCGATGGATTCGTACTTGCGCAGGCCGAAGTCGGGTTGTGACTGAGCATCGGCCGGCAGTCTTCCCTTTGGCAGCAGAGCATGGAGGTTTGCGGCGAACTGAACAAACACAGCTGTAACCGTAATGTTTCTTACGAAGCCCTGGACGACGGCGCCCACCTTGGCGTCCTCGAAGCTCTTGAGGAGGGTGTTATCCTTGGCAGCCTTGACCAAGCTCGGTTTCTGGGAGAGGATAATGGCTCGTCGATTCTCATACTTCTCAAGAACCATGAGGTTCGACAGGGTCTGCCCGGCGGAGATCCTCTTCCAGGCGTACTGGTTCTTTGAGGACGATTTGTCGGTAAGATGGCCCACCGGTAGAATGGCTTTGAGCTGGCTGTCGACAAGCTCCACAAAGATTTGATCCTCAGTCTTTTGCGTCACCTTGGCCGAAACAATGTCACCAACGTTCAAGTTCTTGAGAGCAGTCTGCTTCTCCAGACCAAAAGCGCCCGGATCTTTGCAGGAAACAATGAACCGTTTGGCTTCTGGATCAACCTCGAGAGCGTGCACACTCACGACTTGTCCAACCCGGAAGTGCTCCGTAGGGTCGCGAATGTATGCTTCACTCATTTCCGATACTGGAAGGAAACCCCTGAGACGTCCGTAGAACTGAATATGAGCACCATTCGGTTGCACTTTGACAATGGTACCCAACGTTTTCATTCCGATGCTGACGTCGTCGTAGGACTTGATGACGGGCGCCTCTGAGTTGACCAAAGTCTTCTTGAGCGTGAGACGCAATTGTCTTCTGCTGTAGTTGAGAGATAGCACCCGAGCCTTGACCTTCATGCCTTCGCGGAATTTCTTTTCGGGGTGCTGCAGGCGGATATCGGACATGTGGTTCTCAGAAACGAAGCCGCTCATGCCATCCGCAATCTTGATGATGAGTCCTGTAACACCTTGCTCCTTGATGACCAGTTTCTCGATTTCGCCGTTGACCACGGATCCGATGGGAACATCTTCGAGGCGAATGTACTTTTGCTCGAGGAGGCTCTTCTCGAACGAGATGCTGAAGAGGCCGTCCATCTCGTTGTAGCCTACAACTCGACCACGGTGCACCGAACCAACCTTGTAAGGCCCGCTTGACTCGTACAGTGCATCGACTTTCCCATCTTTCACCCGGGATATGTGAACAAAACCGCCTAGACCAGGGATGCCAGTGTCCACAAAGAGACCAATGTCGGCCTCGACGTGGCGGACTGTGCATTCCTCGACAAACGAAGAGATGGGCATCACCTCAAGTGGACGCTTCGTATTTTCAGTGTCGGTCTCTTGGCGCTTCTGTGTCAAAGACAAGATGTGAGGCAACAGCGAAATGCCAACCTTGGGGTCCTTGGCGGTGGGAAAGTTGCAGATGATTCTCGCCTTAACCTTGGACCCAATCTTGTATTTGGCCTTGAGGTCAACGTTGTTGGGGCCAATGCCGGAATGAATCAAGTCAGCAGTAGCGTCGAGAGTTCCCATAATCTTGCCAGTCAGTCCTCTGCCTTCGTTGTCTGAAACGAGAACGCTGACGAGGGTGCCGGGAAGGAATGTGTTAATCGTTGTGGCATCAGCGGGGAACGCCTTGGTGCTTCCGACTTTGTCTTGCTTCAAGGTGAGCTGGGCAATCTTGTTGGAGCCCTTGCCTGTGACCTGGCATAGGAAAACAGCGCCCGGCTGGAGCCTCTCCTGGTCGACGAGGGGATCGATCTCGCCATTGGGGAGGAAGCCGTTCAGGTTTGGGATTCCGAGATCCATGACGCAGCCGCGCTCTTCGACACTGACCACCGATGCCATGACTGTGCTGTTGGGTACAACATCGTCCGTTTCCAGCCCAGAGTTGGCCTCGCTGGGTCGCAGAGACAGCTCGATCCTTCGCTTGCCCTTTCCGCCGGCGGTGGTATCCTTGGTCGAGACCACATAAGCTCGCACATACTGTCCAACTTTGAACATGGTCTTCAGGTTGACGTCGCTTTCGTCGGACGATTCGTCATCCTCGCTGTCGCCCTCCTGTGTCGCGCCACCCTCGAGTCTGCTGGTCAATTGCGACGAGATGGCGACGATGGAGGCATGGCCAATCAGGTTGTTTGGTAATGACACCTCAATGCTGAGGTTGTTGATTCGCATCACCTGTCCGAGCACCAACGATCCCTTGACCAGTCTCTGTTGCATCCGTTAGCCAACGTTCTTGTCCTGTATTCCGATCTCAATTGTGCAATTGGAGAGGGCTGTACCTTGTAGTTGAGACTCTCAATCTTGATACTTTCCTCCTCTGCCTTCTTCTCCGCCTTCTTGTCGCTCTTCACCGCAGACTTCTTCGCCTTCTTCTTTTGCACTTTGGCGCCCGTCTCGAATTCCTCCTCTCGAATGGCGTCGGCTTTGGCTTCCATCTGGATCTTCTTCTGCTCGAGAGGCGTGAGGACGCTGCCGCCTCCACGAGGGAACACCGGCTCGTCATCTTTCAGGACAGAAACAACGGCGGCCTTTGGGCGCTCTTCTGTCACGCCCTCGGACTTGCGATGCGCCTTGGTCGGGGACTTTGCATCCTTGGCCGGTGTCTCTTTCTTCGTCGGTCGACCTTCTTTCGTATTCTTTGCCGACTTGGACGGAGGATTGCCGCCAGGGGCATCCTTCCGCTTGAGGGTGCTCATGGTGGTTGTGCAGCCGCAAGATGCAAAGGCGATATCGCAGCCTTTGACATGGACGACTTTGGCTTCAAGAAACCGACCTGTAGCTCTAACTTGCGTCTCTCGAATTTTTTTTTTTCTGGCGGGACGCCGATAAGAGTAGCGTCGCGATAAGGCAGGCGGTGAGTGGGCCTGGCAATTCATCCGGCTCCACTCTGGTCATTTCAGCCACAGCTCAACCACAGAGGCCGCTGCTGGGGCTCTAGCGCATTCCTTCGGCTTGTCAGCTGGTGGACGACGCCCTGAAATGACCCCTGCAGGAGCCACTACAGCGTGTCATTCACCTGTGGCGCATTCAGGCCCGTCATCGACTTGCTGCTGAACGCCTTATTACGGAGTCTCCCGAGCCAAGTTGAACCTTCCAGCATCCAACTTCAATTGTCTGCCTGCCCATCCTTTCATCATCGCCGCCTAAACTTGCGCGTCATCTCCCTCGTCTCTTCTATGGCCCGCCCCTCACGCCTGCAGCTTTCATGATGCCTCCTCGAAAGAGGCAACGCCCCAATCCCGCTGCACTGAGCTCCGTGAGCTCGCCAACCACAGCTTTGTCGCCTGAGACGTCACTGTCACGAGCGTCATCTGCCTCGGCGCAGCAGGCTAGCCAGCAGAAAAAGCCTCCACTATCCGACTCCAACAGCGAACGCAAGTCATCCGATGCATCACAAAGAGTGAAAGAGGTGAGAAGGCCCCCTTTCCAGTCATCGATGCGCGAACCCCTGGACGGCCGGATTCTCACAGGGTCACGATAGATTCGGAAGACCAACAGCTGGTACGCATCGTGGTCGAAGCCCCAAAAGGCAACCCCCTCGACATCAGTCGCCCGCGAGAACATCCTCGGAGGCACCGTCAAATCAAGGGCCGCGCCTGACTTTTCTCGATTTGAAACGAAGCGAAGCGACGACGACGCGAGCATGCCCGACGACGCCGATTCCGTGTCGCCACCCCCTACAATAACCAACAGCACCTCGAACACCCCGAATGTAGCCAAGACAGCCGAAGAAAACAAATCGTCAGTGCCATCTCAGAGCGGGGACAAAAATTCCTCTGAAACAGGACGCGCACCGGCCATGCCGCCATCTCCCGAGGCAAAGCCGGCCACCGAAGACCAGCAGAAAGCCGCGGATCCCAAGCCATCGTCAGAAGAGAGACCAGAGTCGAAGGCTCCTGCCGATGAAGGCGGTGAAGCCTCAGATGCCACACGGAAAGAAGTCGCTTCATCTGGGTGGTTCGGCTGGTGGACCAGATCCGCACCAGTCGACACTTCCAACGAACCAACCCCGAAACCTGAGGAGACAAAGGAAGAAGCCGTCAAGCCCCCCGAAGTCATTAAGCCAGCCGAGTCTAAGACAGCCGAGTCTGCGCCGCCCCAGGAACAAGCACCCCCGTCTGAGCCCCCGTCCCCCGACGTAGTCCCTGAACAAGCTCCACAAAGCACCTCTTGGTTAGGTTTCTGGTATTCCACTCCGCAGCCGAAGACGAAATCAGCTCCAACAAAGTCAGAAGCAGTCACAGAAGGGCCAACTGCTTCGAAAGCCGAAATGGCACCAAAGCCCGGCCCATCAGGCGAAGCAGCCGACTCGAATGATGAGCCCCCGAAAGCGTCAGCAGCTACGGTATCGCGAGCCTCCAGCAAAAAGTCAAACCTCAACCTCAAAGAAGAGCCGAAGGCAAAGTCTGGAGATGCGTCGGCCAAGGCCGTCCCTCAACCTGAGCAAGCCGAAGCTCAGAGCCCTCCCCCTAAAGCTGGCTCTACCTGGGCCTTTTGGTCAAGTTATTCCCCGAAGAGCAAGGGCAAGGCTACCTCACCAGAATCGGGACAGATTGCTGTTATGGGCGAAGGGTCAGAGCAGCGGCCATCGCCCATGGCAGAACGGAGGCTTTCTGAAACGGCGGCAAAGGATACAACAAAGGACGATGCCGTGCCAGCGGAACCACCCACCGGCGTACTCTCCTGGCGCAGGAGCAAGCGAATAAGACCCATATCGCTGGATCTCGATTCTCAGCGTCCGCCATCTGCAGACAGCACAAAGTCAGCTCCCCCTGACCGGCTATCCACCACACCGCAGTCTTCACAAGCTGCCACTGAACAGGAGCTGCCCTCTTCAAAATCGCTAGCTAGGACGGATTCTAAGAAGAAAAAGCCTGTTCCCGCATCGAAGAAGACAGCTACTGAAATCGAACCAACCGTAAAGGAGCCGCCCAACCTTCTCCTTCCATCATTCGCTAGCACGTATCAGATGAAGGAGAATCCATCCATTCTTCGACAAATTACAAATCTCGTGCTTAGGACTTCGCAGCCGCCTCCCAATCACGTCTTCCGGGTCAAGGACCCTCCCAAGATACGCAAGGCCATCGCTATTGGAGTTCATGGATTCTTTCCGGCTTCGTACCTACGTCCCATGATAGGGCAACCAACCGGCACATCTTTGCGGTTTGCAGGGCTTTGCGCTGATGCCATTCGCAAATGGGCTGAAGACCATGGCTCTCCTGATTGCGAGATCGAAAAAGTGGCTCTTGAAGGAGAGGGCAGAATCAACGACAGAGTCGCAAACCTCTGGAAGCTTCTCCTCAACTGGGTTGAGCATATCCGCCAGGCCGATCTGGTGGTTATAGCGTGCCACTCCCAAGGAGTGCCTGTCAGCATCATGCTCTTGGAAAAATTGATCGACCTTGGAGTCCTGGCAAACACCAAGGTTGGCGTCTGTGCCATGGCTGGCGTTGCCCTGGGCCCTTTCCCCGACTACAAGTCCAGCATACTCATGGGCTCAGTAGCAGAGCTGTGGGAGTTTGGAGATCCTCAGAGCAGCAACTCACAACGGTTTGAGGCATGCCTCAAGCGCGTCGTTGATTTCGGAGCCCGTATCACATTTGTGGGCAGTATCGATGACCAGCTTGTCCCCATGGAGGTAAGTTCCAGTGCCCTGCTGCGGATCATGTTACAGAGGAATACTGACGCCCGTACAGTCTGCTGTGTACTCGCCTGCAAACCATCCTTACATATATCGCGCCGTCTTCATTGACGGCCGGGTACACGCTCCGGATTTCATATCACATCTTATCGGCTTTGCACTCAAACTACGCAACCTAGGAATATCGGATCATGGGCTCATTCGTGAACTGTCTGTGGCGCTCGCTGGATCCCTCTACTCGGGCGAAGGCCACTCACGCCTATATTTCGACTCCGCCGTATATGACCTCGCCGTTATGCATGCCTTGGAGACAACTGACACGGCACAGCCGACGCCTTGCGTGATTCCAAAGCGCGAAACGGCGCCTCTGGCATCGTCCAACCCATACGTACTGCCATGGATCATGCGCGGTCTTCTGGAAGAGGACTTTGTCAAGACGCAGCTCAGTGCCGAAACCGAAGAGCTGCTGCGACAATTCGATGACTGGAAGCCAACCAACAAAGCTCTCAAGGATGTAAAGTACCGTCTTGAGGTTGTTCGGTCCAAACTATGAGTGTAGATGACGACCCCCATGATTCGTGTGCCACTTACCGTCGTATTTACGGCACTTTTTTCAACGCTCTCCAGGGCAAATTTCATACCAGGAGTTTAATATCATTTCGACAGACTGCACTCGTAAGCAGCAAACAGTACACCATCGGTTTAAATATTAGCGAAGCACTTGATTTAGGGTTGGGATTCTGGGATATAGAGCATGCATTCTTTTAGGGCTGTGGTATCTATCAATACATGGATGTATGTTATGAAAGCAAATGAGAAAGCTTTGTGTAAGTTTACGTGTCACTATACGTATGTGTCGTTACAAAATGGGCTGTTTGCACAGAGGGCCTTGTCAGTTGATGCTTGATGTTCTTGATGGATCGTGGAGGGTCACTCAATATACTAGCCCAGTCAGGGGTGAAGAAGGCAACTGCAAAAGTTTATGAGGAAGTATGTGATCCTTTGCACCGAAAACGAGGATATAATTGGAAGAATCACTTGAGACACCGACAGCTGCGGTCTCAGCGACACGCTTACATTCCAGGGCCTGGCCAATGGCTACGAGAATGGCAACGGGAACCACACTGAGACAGCTCCAGACCGTGTCTTGCCCTCCGCTATATTAAGAGTAAAGCAGGGCTTCGGAACGGATAACACGGCATATCTAGTGATCTCTGAATAGCAAACAGTCTTGGCCAGACGTTATGGTTCTCATCTTGACGTCTACTTAAAGAAAGCGTCATCCCACGATATCTATGTACACATCTGCTCATCTATCAAAGTTAATTTCTACACTGTCTGTTATATACTTGCCCTACCTAGGAACTTTACCTTTCCCACCATGAAGACATTTACGCAAACAACCCTAAGCATTTCAACCCTCCTCCTCGCAGGCCTGTAAGCCCTGGCTCCCGTCCCAAACCTACACCACAACGCCATCTAACCTCATATTCAAAAAAGCTGCACGGGCTTCGTCGTCCTCCCCGAACCCTACCGCGAAGGCTGTCCTGCCGTCACCGTCGCAGCCCGCCACTGCCCCCCTCTCCCGCTTCAGCACTGCGGCCCTCATCCGAACTGCGAACTGCTCAAGGTGGTCACGCAGCCGTGCGATTGCCCGACAACCACGCCGACGGTTGTGGCGCCGTGTCCGACTTGTCGGACGGGCTGTGGGACACTGATTCAGACTGTGACGCCGGAGTGTACGCATACTGTGGCATGGGTCACTGAAGGCTGAGGATGTGGTGGTGAACTATCCCAGGGGGGAAGTGGTTTATAGCAGGTGAATGAGATGCATGAGATTGTCATTGAAGCTGATGATGAGAAGCAAATTGATGCTTGCCATCACGCCTACGATAGCCCTTACGATAAGTCCATAGAAAAGATCAATATGATATAGTGTTCCTCAATATGATGTTCCGTGTCGCATACGAGCACGCTCATTGTCTCATTCCATTCCCCTCGTCTTCTGCCACGTCAATTGTGTCAATTTGGTACCACACACCATATTGTTAGCATGGTAGAGCACTGTGAAATAGATAGTAGATAGACAGGCAATGCGGATTCAGGCCTTAAATCGCCCCCACGGGGCTGGTGGTCAAATCGATGTGTATATGTCAGGCTATACTCTAAAATACCCTTCCAATCCAACTCCGAGCCACTTCTGGATTCCGGTACAATGAGAGGAAGTCGACAGGTTAAGGAGTAACAGCCTAGACTACCTCATGGCTCCCTTCCCTTCTTTCAAGCTTGAGCCAAGCCCTTCCCATGATTTCCAGAATTTCCCAAGTAGACATCTCATCTCTTTTGTCTCTCTTCCGTTCTTTTTCATCTTTCATGTTGCTCTGTTTCGATCTTTTCTCTTCGCCTTGAAGTATTCTGTCTCTTTCCTTCTTCCAGTATCTATGCTTTTCTACCTGTGATATTTTCACCCTGATTTGTTCCAGTTCTGATTCGATTCCTTCGTGGAAGAAATTCCTATTCGGCTGCCCTGATACAACTTTTCTGACTGGTAGAACTGAATACCGGTGAAACAGATATATGTATTCGCGAGGCATGGAAGAGATGAGGGACAGCAGTATCAAGAAAGCCAGCTCAGCAAAGAAGCGGACAGGTTGATAGAACTTTCGTACGCCCGTTCGCAGTGTCGCGGCCAGTACTTTTGCGTTCAGCAATGCCACAGCTGTAATAGCTAGAGCGACTCCGGCGGTTTTGGCCATCTTAACCAGCGTGTCCTTTGGCGGTGTGCCGTTCATGCTGAAGACGCTGGTGGCGAAGCTGATGGGGAGAAAGACGACTGTGACATACGTGAAGAGTCGAATGTTGACGTTGCTTCGCATCTCCAAGCCGCTGCGCATGACCTCCAGCCTCCTCGTCAGCAGGATATTGAAGGATGCTACGTTGGCAAGACACCGTTTTAACTCATGAATCTTGTGATCGTTTGCCAGCTTCAGTCCCAATCCGGCGTCTCCATGGATCTGTTCTTTGGCGGTGGCCCATTGCAGCTTGAAAGTTCTTCTTCGTTCTTCACGATCCATCCACACTTCAATGACTGCCAAATTCTCTCTCAAGTCGTCCTCTATGACCTGAAGAATGCGCTGAAACTTGTTCCAGAGCTCATTCAGGGAGGCGAATAGGTTGCTGTCGACTTTGGGGAACGACTCAAGGACCCTCAACAGACTTGACTCATCAATCTCCTCTGAATACTCGACATTAGAGCTTTGCAGAACGGTGTTGATGACCTCTTTCAAAATCTTCCTCGTATGCTGGATCATTTCATTCAGTATCGTATCAAATAGCAGTAGCTCCAGTACTCTTCGCTGCTGCCAAGAGGATCCCAGCGTTCCGTTATACGTCATCTCGTCAATGAATCCAGGGCGTATGTTTCCATTGGCCTCGAAGAAGTGACATGTCCAGTAGCGATCAAAAATGTCGCCATCAAATCGAAAACTCATGACGGCGTGACTGATCCAGGTGGGCTGGTCTCTTCTTACTGAGCTCGGAAACTCAATTCGATCTTGCGAGGGAATGGTATGAGACGCGCGCTTATTGGAAGCATGCTGGTACGTGTAGAACGTTAGATGCATTTCTGTCGCCCATTTGTTGAGTAGCGTTGCTTTGTCTTCGAAGAAGTATTTGCTGTACGAGGCATGCCGGTCGAAAAAGGAGGACATTTGCTCCCTCTCTGATGAAGCAAGGTAGCAATGCAATGCGATTCCCAAGTCCGCCTCGTAAAAATGGAAGAACCTCTTTTTTGCCTTTGCTGGATCGCGAAATCCTCCGATAAAGCGTCCCATGTCTTCGTGCCGTTGAACCTGAAGCGTTGATGTCCTCTGGCCAATTTTTGCTGTCTTGTTCTTTGCTATGTCGATGATGTAGCCGAAATCCACTTCCTTCCAGCCCCATTCCTGAGCGGCATCAACTGCTCTGTCCATGAACCCGGAGCCGCTGCTGCTCTCGTCAGTGTGTTTGCGGGTTTCGCAGAATCCGATAACTGCCTCTGAAGACAAGTTGATGTTGAGCCGAAAAAAGCTTGGCCTGCAGTACAGCCACTTGTGTGTCGTACGAAGCTGATCCATACTCAGGATCAGGGGCTCCCTTCTCTTCATAGCGCCCTCGAGACGACAACAAACATCGGGTGTGTCACTTAGCAGCGTGTTCGAAGAATCGCTAGAATTAGCTCCTTTCCCCTTGAGGAGGTATTCCATTGATCTCCAAAGAATACAAGGAACTTCAAAGGTGGTATGCCAATAAGAATCGCGCATCCAGTCAGCCTGAAAGACAGGCTTCTTGTTCTCGCCCAGTTGTCCTGGAATCAGCCCATTGGGGGAGGAACTGTTCAATAGAGTCGATTTTGCATAGTCGTGCATGTCAGGGGCCGATCTTGAGTTGATGCGTATATTGTATTCCGAGAGGATCATAGCCAGAGCGAACCGGAGCGGATGAACCCATCTTTCATCGTTGTTGGCGGATTGAAGCTCCTGAATACCCAAGGTCCTCTTCCAGGGTTCAACTTTGTTACCCCATATGCTCGCGTATCCGTCATCCAAATTGCCACTTGATCCACCAACTGACGCCGATTCTTCAACGGATGTGCCGACTGATGTGCTTCCGCTGCTTGGCTTATCAAAGAGACCCTCAGCCATGCAATGTATTGTCGTGGTGTCTTGGTCTTGCAGAAGGAAGCTGGTTTCGCAAATGCTGCGGGAAGTCGCAGTCAACAGCGTCTCATTCAACTGCTTGCTTTGAGTGACAAAGTTCTTCAGAATGCTTCTCTGAATCTTGCTGGATGAATATGTTGTTTGGTAGTGGCCTGAACCTTGCCTGAGCAAATCGGGTAAGTTGAGATGTTGCAAAGACATCTGGTCTTCCAGGGACGGTTTGAAATCCTCTAATAATCTTAGAGTGAACCAAATCATAGCATGATCAGAGAGGTGAAACGTCTGTGGTGCATCTTCGAGGCAATGTGGGAATATGAATTCCTCCTTCTGTTTGAATTGGTGGAGATCTCTGACCCAGTTGCTGACGATACCCCCCAATCTCTGTATCAGATGCGTCGCCATTTCCCTTGTCGCAGCCGTCCGATAAAAGCCTATGATCTTGATGATCTGGTAACAGCCATCAACCACAGACTTATTGGGTAGACTCTTGTGGTTTCCCCAGTTTGCAATCGCTTGACCGTTAGCCCATGTGTGAGGAACGAGGTCATCATTCTCGTCCACTTGACGGAAGAGCCAATTCATATGGCCCCAGCATATATCGAGGATGCGGTTGCGCATTCCAGTAGAATAAGCCTCGTAAGTGCCATTCGAGTTGCCTGAACATGGTTCTTTAGACTTGCTATCGAAAAATCGAAATGCTGACAGGAGGAACTGAAAAGCATGGCTATATTGATTAGCATTATCCTTGGAGATATGTGGATTCTCGAAAGGCTTTTGTAACTTACAAGCTTGCTTTGCGTGTAACTCGATGGCCGGATACGTCTCCACAGGTGAGAGCAATTGCAGGAGTTTCTCCTGATCCAATGTTGACGGGGATGCTGCAAACTGACAAGATGTGCTCCAGATTTCGATGCAGGATAAAATCAAGATGTCTGTCGGCAGAGATCGATATCGGAGTCAATGACTCTGTGTTGATTCTCTGCTTTGCTTCTTCAAGGTCTGCTTCAGATACCGGAGAAGTCGATGTCTCTAGCTGCTCAGAAGGGAACAGCTGCAGTGTATATGCCAACGTGATTTCGAGTGTTTCTTTGTTTGAGTTTGAATTCCTCACACGCTGGTCAGCAGTGACATAGAAGTTGCCGTCTTTTCGTGTTTGGGGGGCGTCATCGATTCTCGAAAAGAAATCCAAAACAGATTGACGGAAGTGGCTGCCTTTTTTAGGCGACCGAGGGAGGTTGCCATCCTCATCCGTTGGCTGCTGGCGGATCCCGTTGATGAAGGGTGTTATGAACAAGGCGATAGAATCTCGATCATCATTCATTCCTTCAGAATCTTGAACATCGCTCTCATCCTCCCCTTTGATGCCTCTTTTGTGTACCCTGACGACACAATGACCACGAGTTGGTATATAGATGGTGTAACTCGGATCCTCCAGATTGCGTGCATTTAAAGTATCCCGAGTGGAAAAGTCGAGGTTGCGAAGTAACAAGTCGGCATTGATGATTATCCTGGGGACTCTGGAAAGGGATGGCGCTCCAGGCCGGTGTTTAAACGAGTAGATCTGATACACAGTCGTATCAGATATAACGTATTGTGTGGTCACGTCGAATGCTGGCGTCGTCGTAGAGAATCGAGGCCAGCGGTTATGCACAAACTCAACCCGCGGGGGAGGCGTTGACGCCTGTCTTGCCTCCGTATCTGGTACCATGACGCGAACTTGCCGGCCGCCTCCCTTTGGAGGTGCTTTCCTAGGAGATGGTGGTGGTGTCATTCTCAATGTCGGCGGGTCTGTCTCCCATACATCGGGACGAGGTGTCTTATCGTTAGACTCCTCAAATAAGAGGCGAATTCCTTTGCTAGGGTCGAGGGATTGCCTTTGAAGGTTGTGGGCGCGTTTGGCAACGAAATAAGGCTCTTCTGTAGTTTCAAGGTCAACAGAGACAAATCCAGACGGCACATCCTCATGATATTGTGTAATCTGAAGCAGGTGTCCGTATGCGTTGGCAGTAGCCGTGAGGCCGTTTTCGCCAAAAGAGCTGTAAGTCGCCCGGCTACGAGCATCCTCGTGAGCTTCATCGGGGATCGAAACGGCGTTGGGGAGTGCTTCTGGTGTACCTGGATCGGTCAGATACTGTGATCCCACAGGTGCTAATAGGCAAGTGACATACTGGTAGCAGACATTGAACAAACTCTCGGTCTGAATCAAGGGACAACCACAGATACTCCGGTGCTTAGAGAGCAGCACTGTGAAAGGTGCGCCCTTTGAAGTGATTGACACTTGAGGGGTAGAGTATCTCGATTTTGGGAGGTTGAATGATAGCAACGAAAGGACTCTGATGTCGGTAGAACGGAGGGTCTCTCGTGTACTTTGGGTGCTTAATGTCCTTTCTCGACCCCTCACGACTAATGTAGGCGCATAGAGGTCTCTTTATAAGCCATGAAGAACCAAAGAAGACATTCACCCACACCCATTCTGTATCTCGTACCATGAGCAGGACCTGACGGCGCATATCCGTGAGCGATAAACACCAACCAAGGCAGGCATCGAGGCACACACCACTGGAAGTCGTCTGCTGAACTGCAGAGGTCGCTTCCTGCACAAGTCCGTTGGCTGCTTTGTATTGGACGCCACCTACTTTGTGTCTGCAGCCTCTTTCTCAGCCGCATTGTTCTGACCGCCGGTCCTGCGTTGCATGTTGGTAGTTTATACGCGCTCGACATGGAAAACGAGGCTGAGCCGCCCAGGGCTCAGCTGCGGCTATCCGCGCACATAGACGTACTATTGATGGGTGCAAACCGAATTCAAGACTGCCAGCCTCAAGTCCCAATCGTCCTCAAAGGTGATTCCGAAAAGTTCTTCTGGTACCTTTCTTGGCGAGCGGTGGAACAAAGCCCAAGCCCCTGAACCGTCTTGTCGTGGCCCCCCCGTTTCCGCCAGGTCCTGAATGCATGCAAGCGCTCGAGACTCACCCTCAGCTCAGGCATCAAAGGCCTGAATATGGAAGTGGCGCCTAATAATAGGTAACATCGTACTTGAACCTGTACTACACGCGGCTACATGCTCACCAAACCCTCATCCCAACGAGCAGATTACTGGACGAGAAACACAAGGAGCCAGAGTCCCCAGACCTCGTGTTTTGCTGCATCGTGCCCCTTGTCAGATAATCTTGGTAAACTATCGTCCTCAAAGAAGTCCAATACACATCTCCTCACTCAGGAGCCCTCCTTTACATCCACGTTGTTCCTTGGCAGCCCCCCTGTAAGGCGTCCGGTCCACAGCCTCATGTCAGTGAAAAGCCTCGCGAGGCAACATACATCGATGTGGGAGTCTCATGCAGAGGATGAGGAGAATCATCAACAGAGCCAATCACAGATTACAAGACTGAGCTTAGAAAACAAAGATGCCCATATCGTGCATACGTACATAAAACGCCTCCAACCTTCGGCTCAGCTGCCCCCAGTCAGCCACAGCTCATAACCTCGAACGCGCCCATGAATACATACAGTCAGAAGGAAACGGAAAGGCAGCCACGAGGCCTTTAAATCCTTCTTTTAATCTCATTCTGTGAATATCTAGATACACTGCAGCAGACCAAGAATCTTGACGGTGGCTACCCACCTTCCCGAAGACTGGAACTATATGATCGCCTCCAAGCTTGCCATTCCAAAGGCCGGGTTATCAGCACCGAGGGCGTGCTTCTCCAGATGACTCGGATGAAGAGCCACGCGTGACTCTGATGATCTAATTTCCCGTTGCCGACACATGTTGCTTGATATGCATTCACCTTTATAACGACGAACCAAGATCAACTCGTCATATCATCTACGTATAGGAGAACACTTCAGAGTCTATAAACTGAGCATGGTATCCCAATACCGCTACAGAAGTAGCACCTCCATCACTAATCTTACAATTCATCCACCCTCCCCCCAGTATGTATACACGTATAGCTCACTATATCCGCGCCGATATATGCCATGGTTATGATAATCAACATCGTCCCCCCTTTTTTCCCCATCACATCGTTAAAGATCCATTAGAGCGAAGAAATATTACGCCCTCCTCCCCAACTTCCACCCATCGATCCGATCCTGAATCTGATCCCACGTCATGGTATGGCTCGTCACCCCATACGCCTGCGCCTCCTGCACCACCACCGTCGGCGCGCCGCTCCCGTTGCCGGGGTTCTTGACCGCGCCGCCCATGACCATGCTCGCCACCCGCTGCAGGTCCCGCACCGTCAGCGCCTCGATGCGCCGGCACATGTCCCGCACGGGGATCTTGCGCCCGTGTACCTGCACCGACCGCCCCAGGTCCTCCAGCTCGACCATCCGGCTCTCCAGGTTCATCAGCAGGGACGACCGCAGCTGGTTCTTGGCGCGCGTCACCTCGCCCTCCTGCAGCTTCGAGATGCCCCGTTCCAGCGTCAGCGCGCGCAGCTCCTGGCACATGACGTCCAGCATGGCAGACGTGTGGCCCGGCAGGCAGGAGGCGGAGATGCCAAAGAGGCCCGAGTCGGTGTACGAGTGGTTGAAGGCGACGCATGACTCGACCCAGCCGTGCTGGTTGAGCACGTTGGTGTACAGGCGAGAGTACATGCCCTTGCCCGGCCCGCCGGCAGAGAACGATCCGCCTCCTCCGAGGAGCGTCTGCAGCGTTGCCAGCGCATAGATGTCGTCTGAAGCGACGGGCAGTCCTTCAAAGGCGAGGTGGATGTGTGTAAAGTTTGTGCCGGTGAGTGATGGCGGCTGAGGGGGGAGGGAGAGGAATCCGCCGGTGTATCGAGAGGGCTGGCGAATCTCTTCTTGAGAGGGGGGGATGAGGAGAGAGGCGTTTCTGGATGTTGATGTGGAGATGTTCTTGAAGAGGGGAATTTTGGACATTAATGATGAAGAAGAAGTGGAGCTGGATGAGGCTGATGATGAAGTCGCTGATGCTGATGAGGAAGCATCGCTGGCGAGAGAGCTGAGGCTCGATTCGGAACCTGTCCTCGGCAGCGTCGCCTTCATGTCGCCGAAGAACTGCTCGGCCAGCTTAACCGCCGTGCCGTGTTCCACGCCCGCAAAGGCCAGGACTATCCTCTCCGGCCGGTAAAACAGGTCCCTGTACAGCTGCACCGTGTCCCTGTTGATGCTTCCCAGCCGCTCCTCTGGGCACAGCAGCGGGTTGCCCAGCGTGTTGTCCTTGAACGCCGCCGTGTGCACCAGCTCCGGCAGGATCAGCTCGGGCTTGCTCCAGATCTCGGCAATCTCGTACCGCGCCGTCTCGATCTGCTCCGCCACCTCGTCGTCCGTGATGCGCGGGTCGCGGATCGTCTCCGCCAGCAGGGCCACCGTCTCCGGCACGGCGCTGTTGAACGTGGCGGCCTGGTACATCATGCTCTCGCGCGACGAGGCGCACTGGATGTTGCCCCCGAGCGTCTCGACCCGCTGCAGCATTTCGTCCGCGGAGTGCTTCGAGGTCGACTTGAACGCCAGCCGATCCATGATGTGGGACACGCCGCGCAGGGATTCGTTCTCGAACCGGGAGCCGGCCTCGACGTAGACGCCCACGCCCGAGAAGGAGCCCGGGAGGGCTTCCGAGGCGACTCGCAGGCCGTTTGGCAGGGTTGTGATTTCGTCCAATTCGGTAGGCTCCTGTCATGCCTAATTAGCCTCCGACCGGGTAGACAGACATTGGGTTTCATATCGCTAACCTTTGGTATGCCCTCTATATGCACCGTCGCCATCGTTCGTCTGGGCATCTGCGGCTTGACGGCTCCAAACCTGCTCTGCGTACTGAGCAGCCTCGAGCCCTGGGCCCTCGCCCTCGGCTGCAGCCGAGCAGCAACCTGTCGCAACATCCCTAAAGCTTCGTCTTTTTCTTCTCTTCAGCCTTCCCCCTAAAGATGTGGCAGGTTTCTTAGCGAGGTAAGAAGACAAGAGGACTGGAGTGAAAAGGCAATAACGGCGAGCAGCTTGTAGTTCGTCCGGCGTTGATTCATCGACTGGAAGACGGCGTTGGAAAATTGTGGTGCCGTCACATTTCATGTTATCGCATTATCTCGGCGATACGTCGGATCATCCCGATCCCGGAGCTCCGACCGGGCGGGACGGCGGGAAGTTGGGAATGACAGCAGCGTACAGGGATTCATGTCACCCATCGTCAGTGTAACTCACTTGACGGAGTCAAGCATTGATTTACTACTATTTATAAGCTGTCATGTATAGTAGGTAAGTATTGATGGTTGGCAAGTGGTGCTATCTAAACTATGTACGCCACGATACCGCCAACACAGCAAGAGTCTCGATAAGAAAAGGGTAAGAGACAATAGACGATCCAAGCTCCCGTTTCTCGCATCCTGTCGGCCCTTGCTGATGGCGCTCCCTGCCTCCGCCCCTTCAAGTGTATTAACATCAGTTTCAATCACAAAAACTCCGGCCGTCTGATCACGGCGGTCAAACAGACCAAGTAATCCAGGGCGCCTCTTCCTTTTCTATATCCAAAGGTAGAAACCGGGCTTCCCTTGCCTCTCTCTGCCCTCTCCACGTACATCCAGGTTGTTGCCACTCCGAGATCCTGTAGCTCACATGCTTTGGGTCGGAACCGTAGCGATTTCTGCCACCATACTCCGTATACGCCGATGATGATGCCGTGCAGTGACTGCGTAGCGTTCGATAAACAAAATGCACAAGAGCAGCGACCAGCTCGCCCCCGTTTGTCAAATATCCCAAAGCAGAACGCCGAGTGAGACAACAAGAAGACACTCGGGAAAAACAAGGCAGAGAGTGCGAAAACGGGCGAGAAATTCAAAATTGTAGCTTTCTAACCATAACCCGCTAGTTTTGCCCATGCTAAAGATGATTTCCACCCTCCCAGTTGCGGCCGGAATGAGCCATGCTTATCATGACGCCAGATGCCAAAAGTCTGTTTCGCGGTTCATGGAGACTCGCCGCAATCCAAACGCACACGGAGAACAAAAGACAAGAAAAGAAAAAAGCAAAAAAGGTAGATGATAAGGCGGTGGGAAGAGTTAGAGCATCAGGAGAAGCACAGTACCGCCGCCACAGATCAAGTCGAACAAGACTGAAGCAACGGGCGTTTGCGCCAATGCCCAGGCGATAATGGGGAACCTGAACAAGAAACAAGTGAACCGACACATCAATATTAGAGACCGCCATAAGAAGACGATATCGGCCTACAACACCGCCACCTTGATCAGAATGCTCATCGGTTGCTCGACCTGGTGCTACCGGCTGGCAGCGTCGTCGCTGGACTCGTGCGTGGTCGTGTCGGCATCTGCTGCAGAGTCGAGGCTCGGCATCTCGTCGGTAGCGTTGGCTGGCCGTCGGCCTGCCGTTCCGTCAAACACCCAGGGCCCTGCGTTGTTCCTCGGGGTGATGAGACCCTCTGCCCCATTGCCAGGTGGCGAGGGGGTTCCCGTTTCTCGCAAATGACTCGCGCGGCCGGCACCCGAGGACCGACTTCGAATGGGCAAGGGGTCGGATGTTGCGTGCGGCGCTGTCGGGCTGCCCGACGCAGCGAAGTTGACGGTAACGTCCATGGCATCTGTTTCTTGCACCGTCGCCTCAGGCGCATCCTCTGTCAGAGAGGGAAGGGGCGGCACGATTTCTGGAGCGAGCGGCTCGACGACGGTAGGGGGCACCGGGTCGCTGGGGGCTGTGAATTCGTCGATATTCTGCCATTCCTCGCCCGCATCCTCGACGTCGGCTTCCAGGTCGGCGCCAGCACGGCAGTTGGGACAGATGAAGATGGGGTATTGCGGTGAGGTGAGCAAAGAGCGTACACATTTGAAGTGCCACGTATGAGAGCAAGGGGCGACGAAGAGAGATTGGCACGGCTGTTGGAGAAGAAAGAGCGTTAGTGATCGAGACAGACATTCGGAGCTCGAGCGGCACGGACAACGACATGACTTACGGCAATGGAGTTGAGACAGATAGAGCAGTCCTGGGAATTTGAACTCGAGACGGAGCCTCCTCCGTTGGTCGCCATGGTACGCAGTCTCTTATGAGCGGCCATGCTGAGCAAAGGTTGTCAGCCGATGATTCAAACGATGTAGGGGAGAAAAGCATGTCCCTCTCAGCTGATAGGTATAATACTCACTTGAACGTGTTTGGCTTGTTCTGCCATCCGCGATTGAGCTCCAGCCTCATCTTGACGCAGCGGAAAATCATCTCCTCGCCCCCTTTAAAGTCAATACCCAGCTGGACAATGTCGCCATCGTTGACGGGAAAGGCTTTGCTCTCCTGCGAGGGCGGGCTCAATCGGATGTGGTTGAGAAAGGTGCCGGACGAGCTCTTGACGTCCTTGATGTACCACTTGCCATCCTCGTACCAAAACTCGCAGTGCCGGCGGCTGACCACCTTGCTCTTAAAGCCCACGGGCGCCCCCGGGGCAGGATGACCAGACGCGCCGGCCAGGGCTTGTGTGTCGCGCTCAGAGTATCTGCCAACGCGGATGACCTCGGCGCCGTTGGACAGCGTCCTGGAGATGGGCGGGAAGGACAGTGACGGCCGCGTGGATCGGGGGTCGTAGTAGGCGGAGAAGCGAATGGACGGCTGGTTGTCGGCCGAGCCGAAGGCCTCGTTGGATCGGGCCATGGTGGGCTGCTCGGCGGTGCTGGACGGCGTCTCGACAGCTGGTGACGAGGCCGAGGACGAGGACGAGGACGAGGCGCCGGGTTGGGCTGAAGAGCTGGCGAGGGCGTCCGAGGCCCGTGACGGGGGCGTCGTGGCCGAGGCGGGAGACGTTGCCACCAGCGTCAGTCGGTTAGTGTTGTTCGAAGCCGAAGCGTTGGTCGTCGTTGTGGTCGTCGTCGTCGTCGTGGCTCCGGGCGAGTAGCTGACGGACCGCGTGAGGCCGCTGCCGGACTGGCTGGTGGAGGGCGAGCTGCCGCCGCTGCTGCTGCTGTTGTTGCTGTTGCTGTTGCCGTTGCCGTTGCTGCCAATCGCGTGGTTGCTGCTGTCACGCGACAGGAGGTGGTTGTGCGTGTAGTTGCGCAAGATGCTCAGGCCTCGCAGCCGACTTGTTCTAGAAGGCGAGGGCAGACTCGTCGAGGGTGTCAGCCCAGGCGGCGGTGATGGTACCATTGGCTGTGAGAACATTTCCGCTGACGCTGGACGCGGTCTGCTGGGCTGTATTTTTTCCTTCTTTTTTTCCCGTCTTTCTTCTTCGGGGGGGGGGGGGGGCTCCTCAGTGGAGTTGCCTGCTGTAAATTGAGGAATCGAGTGCTGGACAGCGGCTGTGCCCAGTGGACGGGTAAGCAGGGGGTTCTGTTAGAGCTCTACGGCCTCGGACGGCAATGCGGCCAAGCACTCCGAAGTACCTTGGTAGTAGAGCAGACTGGAACAGGAAGAAAAGAAGTGCCAGTCAGTGTCGCGGGACGCGCAGCCACAAGGCAAGAGAGAGGGAAAGCTGGGAAATTGTGCCTGCGTCTCCTCCTTTATTTCCTCTCCGCATCCGAGGGGAAATCAGTTGTCCAGGCAGCGTCGTATTATATGATGGCACGAGTCGCACGGTGCCAAGGCCGCTGCAGGCAGGTTGGTTTGGTAGGGTCAAGTTCCCGGAATTTATAGTGGAGAGTGGAAGCAGGCCGCTGTGGAGGGCAAGAGGTACAGGGCCGGAGAAAGAACCCTTGCAAACGGCAATTTTGCAGCTGTTACTGCACAGGGGATGGGCGAGAGAGGGGAGTGATGAATAGACTCGGGAGGCAAAGAAGGCGAAGAAGGTTGTCGATGTAAATGTTGCTTCTCTCGAGGAAAATCACTGCCTGTTTGTTGTGCCTTGGCAGCGTCTTGTTCCCATCACGCAACGAATTGGTGAAGGCTGAAGAAGCGGCGCGTGAGCGTTTGGGAAACCTGAAAGTGGAAGCGGCCGGTCGGATTGACGGTGATGAAGTTGGCTGGTCGATCGTAAAGCCGATGTGGGGGATGAGAGATTAGCCGTGAGATGGAGAGATGCAAGAGGCAGAAAAAGGGAAGAAGAAAAGGATTCAGAGGAAGAGAAAAGGCCGGCGACCCAACAGGCGGAATGGTGAGGATATACTCGGGTGCCAGGTGGAGGTTACCAGTGGTTCTGATCGGTACGTACGCAGACGCCGAATGATGTCTGGTTCAAGAGGGGGATGGCGGTATATTTACAGTTTGCAATAGCACGAGCGACGGCTCCAGCCCGGCTGCTTGTAGCAGGTACAGCGCGCTACCCATCGATGCCCGTTGAAACATCGAGCAACGCCGCGGGCAGCACGCAAGCGTCAGTGTCGGTTCAGCCCGACGCTGTGGCACGTTGGTACAAGTACCAGCAGGTAGTACTCCGTACCGCGCCGAGATCCACCGCGGCAGCACGAGTCGCAGGGCCAAGGCGAGTTCAAGGTCCATCAGTCCCTTTGATAGACTGTGCCTCAGCTTTCCTTCTTTCAACTCTTCTCCAGTTCTTTCGCCTCCTCGTGAGCGTACTGGCTGGGCTGCTATACCCAGTACTCGTAGATAGCAGCCAAGAGGATGCGGCAAGAGGGGGGTGGGCGTATTTGCCTCCATCTCTCTCTCTCTCTCTGTGCGCAATAATGTCTGAGGTCCCCTGATTCCGGTTTGGTTCAGCCGTCGAAACTAGCGACCGGCGCTGGGCTGCTAGCGGTGGCTGCAGGGGTGGGCACGCTGTCGCTGTGATCAGCACCCTTGGGGCCTAGACAGGAAGAGGCATCAGAGCCGTCAGCGGCTCGCTCAGCTGCTTGTGACGTGTGCGTGATGTCGGCTTGGATCAAATGCAGGTACTGGAGGGAGATTCGAGGCTACTGACACTGGATGGAAGGGAGAGAATGAGGAAAAGCTGCACAAAGGAGCGTCACTGCAGAAGGGAAGTCGGCAAAGCATCTGATCCAACCAGATGAGCTTCCAGTCGTCAGTCGTCACGTCCAGTGTAAGGTACATGTAGTTGCCAAGTCACCTGTACTGCGCAAAGAAGCCTCGACGCCGCCAGCTGGAGGCTTCAATTTGTCTGTTTGCCCAGGGCAGCCAGCCACCAGCCTTCCAGCTCAAGCCCCGGCTCCCGACGACTGACAGTACCCGCCGTCTACACGCAGCACCCGCACCCGCACCGCCAGATGCCTGCCCCGGTCCAGGTACCTCTGCAGTCCACCCTGTCCGGCGCCACGCCCCCGCCAGGCCTCGACCAGTCTCGATTCCAGTGCAAAAGGACTCAGTCGAGTTTCGTTTCAGCTTTTTTTGCCTCTGTGGCGCTGCGAATTGGAATCTTGGCCTCCATTCAACTTACAGCTGACAAGCCGTCGACGTCGATGTTTATCTTGAACCTGGAACTTATCTGGTTTATCGCGCGTACCCTATACCTACCTGCCTACTCTCTCACCCATCATTTACACGACTCGACCAATCATCAACCAGCAGCTTCGAGATCAGGCCATTCTTGTCCAAGGCCTCATGGCAGCTCGTGACGCCGCAGAGTCCATGGACTTACCCGGCTTTGGCCCATCACCAGACACAGCCATGTGCTGCCATCTTCCAGCCTCGGAAGTATAAACAGTACCTGGGCAGTATATCACTCATTGCATCTCCCCTGTTCCATCAAGAGAGCATCTGAGCGCCTCTTCCCTGCCACCAAGATGACAGAATCAAGGAAAACACCACGAATCCAACAGATGCAGGACATCGGGCATCGTGTGTGACCTACATCACGAGCCCATATGCAGTGCGCCGTGCCACAAAACGTCGAATATCAAAGAATCGCATGCATACAACTCGAGCATGTTCTCATACACACGCGAAACTCCATCCCATAAGGCTGCCACTTTCACTCTCATGTCAACACAACACAATGCTGCTCTCGTCAGCTCGCCCGTCACGCAGCCTCTCTCCTCGTGGCGCTTGGCTCACCCCAGCTTTCCCAGCCGGCTTCCTCTGAGACAATACTCTTTTCTTTCTAAGACACACTACCGCGAGGCTCTACACGCACGCCCTCAGCTTTTCTTTTCCCTCCCTTCTCTTCCAACATAGCAATGTGTCTCTCTTTTCAGGCACTAAAACCCCACGCATGCAGCCGCTCCAAGAATGACACAGATTCTAGATACTAGTAGTACTAGTTCGCACACAAGGTCTTCGGCGAGACATTTGCTGCCTCTTTATTTTTTGCCCTTGTCTCTCTTGAAGCCCTGGAACCATCAAAGAGCTCGATGGCACTGCATTCCAGGCCGATAGACACAGGCCCTGAAAACCCAGTCACCGTGCTTTGTCATTTGTAAATCGCGATTGCTGCGTCTTGGTGCTGCTGACTGCAGTAGGCTAATAGGATGCATAGATGTGGTCCTATTCCGTCTGTATAGGTATGAATCCATCCATATCCTCCCGGGACATAGATACAAGTCCAGCCTTTTCGTCTTTTCTCAAGTTTTCTATTCTCCCTTTGCCCAGGGGGACAGCACTGAGCGCTGGGACCACAGCCGTAGTAGTACATAGTACTACTAGTACTATCCTCTCATGTCTCTGGTCAGAAACATCTATATTTGGAAGCGGAATTGAGCGAGCATGCCAGCGAGATGCGAGACAAAGAGAAGAAAAAGAAAGGAATTCCGCAAATAGAACTGCCACAGGTGTTGAGATCGATCGGATTCATCAATGGCTCGAGCTTCTTTTATGGCAACCTCAAAAAGTAAAACTATTGACTCGGTTTTCCAATCCTCTCTTGCAGCTGCATCCGTCCCGACAAAGATCCCCTGCCATTTTCCCAACCCTGCCATCAAATACTTTGCATACAGCGTACGTGTACATACACACCAAATTCCTTGGTTCTTTGCTGACTGCATACTTACCAGATGGTACCTATCATCATGCCTTATTACCAAGGTATTGTCATACAATATCCATCTCCTTTACAACTCGACCATCGAATCCAGAGGAAACGAACATGCCATCTTTTACTTCTCTCGTGCGAAGCGCTCCGTCAATAGTCCACATATGTCATTTCCCCTGCCTCGAACCCACGCCGCTTGGCAACATGGGTAGCATCGCCTACAACAGGGATCAACCGCTCATATGCATTCACAGCATATAGTAGACTACATGTCATATTGAAAAAGACAAGCCACGGGGAATGGCTATTCTACCCGAATGGCAACCTGCAGCAGCCTCGGCTGACTTTTTCCTCAAAAATCACCGGTGCTCAAACCACCATTTACCAGAAAGGACAGAGTCTGTATGTAAAGTAAAGACGACACCAAACTCCCCTTGTCCCGACTTTTCAGCCCAAATGACACATCAACACCATCCCTGCCTCATTCTCGCCTTGACTCGTGCACTGCACACAAGCAGGCGACCAGATCGCCTCCATCTTGTCGTGTCTCCATCACACGTCCAGACGACTCCTCATGATCGTTCTACGACATCTTCGTATGTAGTAATACTCCGTAAACAACCCCATCTCCGCTCTTCTTCTTCTTCTCCTCCTCCTCCCCGGACCCGCAGCCCCCAACCAGAAGACGCATCAAACCCCTCCGACTAACCAACCACATCGCCACCATCTCATCCCCCCCATCCGTCCGTCTAAAGCGGGAGGTTAATATCACATGGCTTCTCTGCGTGCAATGGGACGCGAC